ATGTTCCTTTCTCTCGTATGTAATATTGTGAATATTGCAGTACCTTCAAATCTTCTTACGTTTTCATTACATTCTTTAATAGACATTCGTTATCAGACCAGACGTATGCTGGAAGGGAGGCCAGGTTCATCAGGTAGTCATCAGCTCAATTATGCGGTTTTGATGAAACGTCTTTTAACATTTTGGTAATTTCAGGATGACATATTAACTAGCGCATACTGCCCACCCCACTTCTTAGCTACGGCCAGTTTTGACGGAGACATTATTCTTTGGGGATTGGACAGAGAAAAAATGATAAGAATTTTGAAAAAAGGATCTAAGAGTTTATTGTAAGTAGAAAAATGTCTAGCTGTTGTTGTGAGATTGTTGTTTACATTAGCAACTCGTAACTTCTTTTCCAGTAAATCAAAGATCATGAAAGTAGGTCTTCTAGGTCAACGTGAACGAAGATTGAGGTAACGTATACTTTCCTGGAACATATCGAGACTTTTGGTATGGACAATGTCAATAATGATGTCAATTTAATTTTAGTCGTGCTCAAGCCCAGCTAACTGCCAAGAAAGACTACTCACCTATTGATAAACTACTTTTTCTGACAACGCGAGCACAAAACAGAGCACAGGAAAGTGCGACGTTAATTTCATCAGAGAGCGGAGTACTGGAGTTTTGGTGTTTATACGGAACCGCAAAACCAATGGGTACGTAAAATAGCACAGTAAAGGAATCTGAAAAGGCAAAGTACATGTTTTATTTCAATTATCTYACCAGGAAGGTTTTATGCTGGCGAGGAAGAGAATGCGTTTGTTCTTGCCATGGCGACGGACACTAGTAACGACTTGCTTGTAACAGGTGATTCTACAGGACGAATAACGATATGGGACATAAGTTCTTATTGCATTTCACGGACTGAGTCCATTATTGCCCAGGTATAACTATAAATTGATGTTTTTACCTCTTCTGTGTCTGTGGAAAGTCAGCCAATTCACACGATCACACTAAGTGGAACTTTGACTTAATGTAACAGGTCTGGTCTACAACTCAGCGAATGTCAAGTTTTGACGATAGTCCTGAACCSTCTCCCCCAAGAATGATGTCTTGGCATGCGCATAATGCTGCTATAGTCAGTATTGAAGTCGTTCCGTATGGAGATAACACGTTTCTGCTCTCTGCTTCAAGTGACTGTACGTCAAGGTTGTGGTCACTGAAAGGAGAATATGTTGGCATGTTTGGTCAGGTACAATCTATTTACTAAACATCAATAATTTCTTATAATAATTCATTAATTAGTCAAATTGGTTTTATGAAACCCACCAATTTACGAGCTGATCGCTTATCTCACATTTTTCTCTTAATGCAGAAAGTATTATGGGACATCGACGAAAGTAGTTCGTACAAACACACCGGGTGAGTCAGTCTAAAAGTCATTTGCACAGAATAAACGGAAACACCTCGAAATTACATTGCGCTATAGAAAATTGTGATTCCGAGACTCATCATTGAATATTTTCGTGGAAAATCAAATGTATCATATATGAAAAAAATGATTCTTTACGAAACTGGCAATTTAGCAAATGGAAGTCATCATTGCGATGCAATACTGACCACATGTTATCAATTTAAGATTCCCGTGGAATGAAGCACAGATGGCAGACTGTGATAGTAAGTATGTCCAAGATTAACCACGTGGTCACATGACCATTGCTTTTATATATTTCTGTTTACCTACAGGGAGTACAGTGTGCGGCTCACCAACACGAAGCACCCACGATGAAGTACATGTCACCATAACAACGAATGGTGGCGAATCGTCACCAATGGAAATCTCACGTGAAGACCTGACAAGGTTATTGACTGGCTAGTGGCCCGTGATACAATAAAGCATGAATACGCAGTCAATTGTTAATATTATCTCTGACTATTGCGCTGTTTCCCGTTTTTCTGTAGAAACTCACCGGTTGAAAAAGAAGGGAGATTTTTACCAACGCTGCAGTCGGACGTCAAGCAAGACAGTGACCAAAATTCTGATATTCATAGATCAAGGACTAGTTTAATTCTTGACAGAAAACCACCTGATAGTTGGGTATGTTTTGTGTCATGTTATCTAAAGTCAAACTAGAAATCGCCTATTCGATATTGATGTTCCTAGTTTTCGATGACAACCAATCAAAATCAAACACAATTCCTTTTTTGCTTTCTTGTTGAATATTCAGTCATTGGGTATCGCGAAAATAAAGAATGAAGGAATTATCACGGACTTTTTTTCTTAGTCCATGCTAGGTCACAAGTACAACGATGACTTTCGACAAAGGATGAAAACTCGTCAATCAAGACGTACCTTCATGGGATATGTAGATCGCAAATTGACTAGTGGAGCAGGTGTTGGGAATCATTGTTCTCCCTTCCAAGCACTGTACATTCCGGTACGACCAACCAATAATTTCTGTTTGATAATATGTAAYTGTATCATTAGCAACTTCATTAGCTGTTCATCACCTGCCTTCTATCTACATGTTCAAATGCATAAAATATAATACAGCAAAAGAATCTTCTGCTTTCTTTGTTTAATAAATTCTTATATTTCATGATTAGGAAACTCAGGATTTTAAGATACCGAGTGAATTACCAGTTACAAAGCGCATGCTTCGAAAGGCTGCAAAGATGAATGCTGACACATTTCCCGTTGGTGTAAACCAAAGTTTGTTACCAGTACTCCCTGCTATAAAACGATCTGAAAGTTTAAATACTGTCAACTCTTTCAATAAAGAATCGCATGTGCAGAGTTCAGATAATGCATCACAATTCTCGTTTATAGCAGAGCAAAACTAATAATTATGGAGCAATGCACATTTAGAAGATAAAACAGAGACAAATTGAAAACAAAAGATTGATATTTTTATTTAACAATTGTAAAAATTTAGTATACATCTTATTTATTTCAATAAAAGATATCTCATGTCTGACACATGCATGAGCTGTTTAATTGTAACAAACATTAAAACAATTCCAGTGTTTAATCAAAGTCAGTTAAGATGGTTCTTGAGACTGCCAAGAGAAATAAAAGTTCAAAGCTCTGTTGACATCACAATTTGCTGCTAAAGTCACGCGGATCAATTCTCGTCTGGGAATCGAGTCCCCAAGGACTTCAGTCAAGGATTGAATACACTTTTCGATCCGTGTCGCCCTGTGGCATCGAATGGCATGTTGCTCGAAAATCTTTCTTGTTGTACACTCTTGAAGACTTTGAATCTGTCCAATAACATATAAAACAATAAATGAATAAATAATGATAGAATAAGATGGATGAAAGCACTTACTCCATATTCTTCAAGTTGTCTATTAATCAATTCATTGTTCTGTGTTAGAACATCTCGTCTGCCATTTAAATAAAAAGAAATACATCATCAGACACCAGGGCGATTGACTGCAAATTGCACGATAATTGTAATGAATTCACACCAAACCAAGTTTTGGAATATCTAAAAATGTGTTGCCTCTATTGACTGGGCAAATAGAGTCTCATATTTTAAAGACTTTGCCTGCTAAGGAAGGGGGAATTCGGAACCCCTGGATTCATCCCCTTCACACGCCCTGTTAATTAAGTATTCTTTCTCCTTCAAACTGGATAAACTTTCTTCATCTCAATGCTAAGGAAGAAAATCGCTAACATGAAACAAAGATATGATCGATACATTGATCAATATATCAACTCACATTGAAGTATCCATTCGTAATCCTATTTCATGCTGTAAGTCTTTTGTTAGATTGTCAAATTCTTCTGATTCTAAAACATCTTCACTTGTTGTTACATATTTGATACACTCTTCCTGAAAAATACGAAACACTCAGCTTGAAACGCCGTCAATTTGTGTTATACAGATACACTTTTCTACCTTTAATTTGGGAGTGTTGTAGCGATCAGCCAGACTTAGTAGATAGATCACATTATCACTATTAAAACGAGTACATAATGCTGATTCACATGCATCTTTCATACTGCTCATCTATGAAAGCAAAATAGTGATCATCATGATGAAAACATACCTATGAAATCAAGGTACTGAAAATCAACTGACCTCATAAACGTCTGTCAATATCATCATTTCGATTAACTGTTCAGTTGTTAATGATTTGGTGTCCATCACTTCTCCATACAATGTCTCTAAAAACTTGCAAAACACAGCTGGGCTTGTGTCTGGAACCAAAATCGTCCTTAAGAAAGAGAAATTCTTAGTCATCATCTGATGATGAAATCTGCTATATCACACGTTAATAACAAACCTATCGATGGATTCTTTCATACCACTCGTAAGAGCACATTTAAACCAGTGGCAACGTGCAGCAACAATCACTCGATGAGCTTTGAATTCTACTGTTTTCTGTCCATTGTCGGCATTTTGTTGGCACCTGGAAACCTTATCACTAGTAGAACTACAAGCTTGATCGCTTTCGTTCTCATCTCTCTTCACACAATTTTTCCATCCACGATGTGCATTGCTTACAATAAAAGTCATGTCAGCGTACTTCCCTGTTTCAAGAATTGACGCAGCAGCTTTTGATAGTTTATTGATGTGATTTGCTCTGTATGTCTTGGAGGAGGCAAGATACTTCAAATCAATGAATACAGTGATGTTAGTAAACCCAATAGTGACCAGCCAGCAAGTATTATCATCACCAATATGTCTGGCCAAAGACATTCAAATAAACGATAAGTCAAATAATAAAAACTCAAAAACAAAAATTTCAATCACTATTGTGCGCAGTATCTCACTGAGTACGAAAATAGACGGATTTCAACTTCCTCTGATTGATTTGACGCGCTAATTAAAGCGATACTAATTAAACTGACTCTAACACATAGAATCTGGATTTCATGAATACAATATATGTTTACCTCTGGTTTATAGGGTGGGATAGGTGGTTCATCTTTAGACACGGATTCTGCTAGTCCAACATCGACCATAAGTTCTTGCAAAGGCTCATATTTTTGAATGAAGTCAACTATTGGTTTTATTGAGCTCTTGTGTCGTTTTATTGTTTCAAGAATACATGACTGTCCAGTAGAAATAATCAGCATCAGTGATGCAAACTTTACATGCTGTGAACGTTTATACAGATGATAAATATATCTTTCCACCATTATACTCACAATTTGGGCAGTTCCAACTTTAAGTAAGCTCTTCCACTCTTTAAACTTCAATCTAGTGTAAGTTTGAGGAACTTTCTCTATGTTGTCTATTACATCAGGAAGCTAGTTTTGAAAGGAAAGTATCAACATATGAGAAACGTTTCTAAAAAGATTATTAATTTCATGTAGATACTACCTCTCTTTCTATCATTTTATTCATTCCTTTCACCATGGAACGAACTTTTTCATCAGCAGATAAATCACAGAAGTCTTCTCTACAAAAACAAATGGAATTAGCAGTCAACAGGAACAACTCCAGGAAGAAGAAAGTAAATAAGGTAGAAATAAAAAAAATAAATGCTGAAAGATTACCTTCTTTGAAATAAAAATGATAAAAGCGATGCTATTTCTTCTTGAATCATTCTTAACACTTTAAGTTCTCGAATATGCACTGCCTGTAAAATAATTACCTTTAACATCATTCACATTTGTCAACAGGATAAAGTTTATATATGTGTGCAATTATTTGTGATAGAACTCACACTTCGACTATCTGTTGTGATGGCTGTACTCTGATTATCATACGGTCAAATCATTTATCAAAATAATCACACCTTACAACAATAATTTGAATTCACAGATTCACTGTTTACTTCTGGTATGTAATGTAAATGTCCAACCTTTTTAAGAGTTCTGCTCAATTTACCACTGAAGCTTGAGTGAGGTGAACTTTTCTGATCATTTTCTTCTTTTTCAACTATATGATCAAGTGTCTCTATCAATCCTATTTCTGATAAGGTTTTCAGAAATGTCTCTATTTTTGGAGCAAAGTATGTTGCAATGTCTTTCTTTTGAGTTATATTCATCATCACTAGACAGTCTTGGCACAGGACTAGTAAACAATGCATTTTCTTTGCATACACAGGAATCCTATTCAAACAGATTACAAACAAAAAATGATCACACTATGTAARCTAGTCTGAGAATTAACTCTTTGAGGCTCTTAATTAATTACTTCTCATTTAATTTATGCTCTGCACAATAAAGTAATTAAACCATATTTGTAGCAATGATATAGAAATGAAAGGAAGTTATAGTGCCTCCTGGGAGAAAGACTCTTAGGAATAAATTCAGAAAAATTAATGTCCGACCTAGACTCCTCGCAGCCGTTTTCCGGTGTTGTCTCCTTAATCCTCCCCCACCGGAAAACGGCTGCGAGGAGTCTATGTCCGACCTCGCTGGGATTCGAACCCACGACCTTCAGATTTGTACTACCGATTCTCTACCAGCTGAGCTACAAGGTCAGACTGGGAGCAGGTCAGGGTGAAATAGATGTTAGGTTGCGGTAATAGAACAATGTAAAGATATGAATATATATAATATATATATTTGTAGCTATTTATAGTTAACCCTAACCCTATGATATATTACTTTCCATTTCATCTAAATACCTATCTCTGATACTCTTTATGAGACCATGTCTTTCTTGTCTTGTTAATTCAGTTTTTCTCTTAGAAAAGATGTCACAGAGAAGAACAAACTTCAAGGAAACTGAAAAAATCACAGGATCACAAGTAATTGCCAAATTAATTTTGAAATAAAAGTAGCATGAGTATCGGTCTCTTATAATTACCTACAGCCACTTGTTGAGCCACTATTTTGCTTACTTCAAAGACTTGACTTGGTTCTGTTGACAAACTGAGCCTCATCATGCCATCATGACTAAGACTACACAAATTGTTTAATGTGCTCAACACATTCTCCATTGATTTTTCAATGTCATTTAGCAGGTTTGTTATTCCTGAAAAAGAGTGACAGTACATCCAATGAAAAAACTTTATAAATTGACCATAAATCACACTTTGAGAATACGACCTGCACTGAGACAGGAATTTTGGATCAGTTGGGTTTTGATTTTACATGTCTTACTAGTTATAACTGCTGTAGCTTCTAGAAAATCTGTACATAATTTGACAAGTTCTTTGAAGCAAGGTACATTTTCAGCAACTCTAAGAATTCCTTTCACTGTACTCTCTGATGGATTATCTGGCAGACTACCAGTATAAAGGTAGTGAAGAAAAAGTCTAAGTACATCAGATGGAAGATTCTTCATGTAATGAGGGACTTTACTCCAGTCTTCCATAGGACAAAGACATGATAGAATGGTCCTGTGRACATTAAACTACAAACAGATATTAATATCGTAGCTTTAGTATCAGATTTGCAATTCTTTCAAGGTTGACAGAAAATCACTCTCAGTCTCTATCTAATAATCAAAATAGATCATACTTTTTGTCAAATGATTCATAAGACTTATCAGAGAAATTGGCTGTGGCATGTTGTTAATTTATGCACCAGTCAACGTAAATCTTCCCCCTCCCCCTCCCAGGAACATCCTGGGACATTGACAAAGGTGCTGGTGAAAGAAATAACATGATCCTGACCCTGCAGTAACATTGTCATTCCAATTTCTCTTCCCACTGGGGAAATTATATTTTACAGTATATTAATTTTCACTTAAATTGATCAATCACATTTTTCTTTCTGATTCTTGCTTTGGAGAGAAAAGACCCAATTTAAATCCTCTGTTGCCCCAGATACTTGGGCACTTCTAATTGGAAAACGTCTTAAGTCCCTGCATTGTCCAGGTTGGGTAGGGTAGGGTTTGGGAGTGAGTGATTCATTACACATRCTAATATTAATATGTGATTTTTAGGGTTTAATATGGAGGAAGGGACTGCTTTATTAAAGTGTGTTGTCTTACATTAACCCCTAACCTCTTCTCCATTGCTTGCAGTAATTTTTAGATCAGAGAAGTACCCTTCATTAAGAGCACCCAGCAGACTGAACCTTGGTAGAAGTACTACTGTCTCCTCTATGACCTAATGAATAAAACAAAGAAACAGTATAAGTTGTTTCTACCACCATCCATTCACTTATAAAGCCTTGCCTTTATAAATCAATACTGTAAATTATGCATTTTATATCATAACTTACTCTGCTGCAATTCAATTTGAGACTTTTCCCACTTTTAAGAATGATTTGGTCCTTATTATCCTTTTGTATTGAGACCTTTAAAAATATGAGTTGAAATGTACATTTATTTGGATACAAATTTGACAAATAAAAATTGTTAATGAAAGAGTCTATGTCTGTTAACCTTAAATTCTATCCAATCTCCAGCATTGGGCATATAAAAGTGAAGCACCCGTCCTTCTGACCAGTCATCAAACTACATATCAAAATAAACACAATAGGAATTTAATAGTAAGTAAGCTTACCATATTTTTTAAATGTATCATGTGATTACCGTAATCAACGAGCTTGATCTAAAGCGTAAAACCTATGTTTCAATTGTGTTCAGTTTTCTAGAATATAAAAGTCTTCAGCTTGACTGAGCAGCCATTGATGGCCAATACTATCAGGCTATATTTACCTCAAACGTTTTGCATGAGAAGAGTGGCAATATTTCTTGTTCAGCGAGTGCTGTAAGGTGCCAAGTCACATCATCCCCCTCGTCCAGCGAAAATCGGACTCTACACCACAAAAGTGCAGTATCATAACGTAACTGAATCTATGTACTCTTGTGAAAGTAGACAACTTACCCTTTCAAGTTTTCATAAGCTTCATCGTTTGCCTCGCATATGTCAATCTAGTTTTAGAAAATATGATTACTGATAAATGAATTAAGAGTAAAAACCAAAGTTTTAGCCTCCAAACTTCTCATGTACCTCCCACGTGCCCAGAATGTCAAATTCGTCATGTTTCTGACTCTGGTTCATATCATTTAAAGACAAAAAGGACGTTATTTATCTTTAACCCACTTCTACATCGAAACTTGACAGCTTTGTTTTTTTTTTAACACATTGTGCGTCTGCGCAGAAGTTAAACTTGTACCCAGAGCCTTCACTTTTGCCGTCCAGCGGAAGTTAATGGAGTGAGATAGCGAGGTAAAGGCTTGTAAAGCCGGGTTAAAATTTACTAAAAGTACCGAGCAGAAATAAGCGGATTTCTCCGGGCGTTTGAGGAAATCCATCAAAACTGCTCTCTATGAGCTTGGGCTGTGAAGTGAAGTTGTTCTCATCCGGGGGTAATTTTCCAGGGAGTAGGATAACATAGTTAATAGAGAGGACTGTCCTCTCTGTCTATATGTTATACAGCCTCAATTTTCTTCAGGAACTGCCAATATTTTGAGAGCATTCGCACGCTAACACAGATTACCTGAGCATAGTTAGTTAGTTAGGCGGATGACTCCGAGATAAATACTGAGCATGAACACTAAAAAAAGCATAAACACTGAGCTCATGGGATTTTTGTGGAAGATCAATGAGCTCCATGTACCCAGTATAAAGACACTAAATATAACGGCGACGGGGATTCGACCCTTTGAGTCCCATCAGAGTACTCTTCTGTCGCTTGTTTGCCCCCCCCCAAAAAAAAACCCCCTCCCCCCCCCCCAAAAAAAAGGGATTTAACTACGGCTCTGAACAAATTCACGCGTATGTTTCAAACCTTTGGGTATCACGGGTATTTCATTTATACAAAAAAATAGGTTGGCTTCTTTATTACTGATTAAAACAAGGTCTCATTTAATAGTATAATAAAACGTTTTATCATATATAGGTGCATAAATTATATGTATGGCGGATATTACATAAACGCGCGGAGACACGGATTTTATGTTCTCGTTTTGGAAGTATTTCTCCGACATGTGAGCACAGCGCGCTCATATAAGGTCATATAAAATAATCTTTAAAATATTTCTTTAAATTTCGTGCATGCAAATGTATAGTACAGTTATGTCACTGTGAAAGTGACAGGTCCTACTTCAATTGGATGTAAAATATTTTGCAATAACCTCCCTGGTGTTGCTCACTACTGCGATGGACCATCAGATTTAATAAGGTAGCTCAAAAGATACACATATTGGTCGTCACCCTCTCTTTTTCCGAAAATGTTCAGGTTGAATAACCCTTCAGAAGGAAGCTTGATTGAAATGATTTTCTTGTCATCATTCGATGTGATACTGCAACACTTGTCAAAACCTTCTTGGTTTTGTTTAAGGTTACAAAGCAGGTCAGTATGTTTATCAGGGCATTTCATGACAATCTGGACATTTCCATCTCGTGAGTGGATGTTCTCTTTGGGCTCAACCAGCACAAATTCCCATTGTGTAAATTGCGGCGACAGTCGTGGAAATCCAAAGACAGGACGTTCAAGTGTGTTTTTACTGTATATTCTATAGGTACACAACCAAAGTTGTTTACTGGGCTCCGGCATGCCTTGCTGCGCCCCAAAGATACTGAGTGTATACAATCCTTGTACAGGTGCATCTATTTTCACCTTAAGCACGTCGTCAGATTTCTCAAAGAAGCAAAGTTGTTGGTTTGGATGAAGTTTCAATGCAGTACCAAGATCTGGCTTAAGGCTACAATTAAAAGAGATATTCGAAATATCGCCTTTGATTTTCAGTACTCGACTTCCATCTAATGTGACGATATTTTCTTGTGGTTCCAAAAGCTCAAGTTTGAATGCATGGAAATCATCAGATAACCTTGGAAAACCAGCAACATCGCGTCTTGTAACCTCCGTGTTCGTGATGTGATATTTGCACAAAAATAAACTTTTGCCGTCATCTTCTTTGGCGAATGTATTTAGAACATACTTTCCAGGACCTGGGGTATCAACTTTTAAACAAAAGCCATCGTTAGTTTTCACGGTGAAGCATAGACAATAGTTCTTTACCAGGTTCTTTTCCATATCAGTTGCACCAAGAATGTTGCCATATATAGAATGAAACCGTTTGCTGTAACAGCTTAACCTGATTTCTGCTTTTCCAGTGTTAGTTTCAATGTTGTCCAATGGACTAAGAATGTCAAAACCATTATCGTTAAGATTTCCAGACATCTGAGGAAATCCTCCATTGTCGTATCCACATCCCATTGTTGTCTTGACAATATATGATGTACCTTGAGTCCAGGAGCCGTCCACTTTAACGTATATATTGATCGTGTAGGTGCCTGGGGATGGGAACTGCGCCCGCAGCCTCACTTGGTTGATACCGCAGGGCCGAATCTGAGCCCGCTCTCGCCCATCACTTAACAGTTGACCAGAACTGCTCTTAATATTTCCCATCAGCACCATTTTCTTTCCTGGACAATAGAAAGTCATATCAATAGAATCATCATCAATAGTGTAAAGCAGTTTTTTGTGGGATAGAAATTCTACACCCATACTGTACATCGCTCCTGACATAACTGCAGCKTCAGCAAAAGTCTTCTTGGTCACGCATTCGTCCAGAAACTGCCATTTGTTACTCTCAGGGAGATGATCAAAAATGGCGTACTCTGGGTCCATCAGAAATCTGAAACAGTTTGGTTCACGATGGAACATCATGTCATTCCCAACATATCCAGCACCCCACGTTGCGTCCGATAAGTACCATTGGTCATCGATGCGTATTGCATTCCACGCATGATTTGTGCCTTCAACTTTCTGACCTGGTTGGTATCCATAGCCCTTGGCAAAACCACTGACAACATGAATTTCTAATCCAGCGGCTTTCCCCATAGCTTCAAACAAATTTGCATAACCCGCACAAACAGACAGCCTGCTTACAAGGACATCTTCAGCCAAACAGCTTTTCTTTGAATCCCTTCCAAAAAAGCCTTCGACATCATAACTAATGTTAAACGTTAGCCATCTATAGATGGCAAAAGCCTTGTCTCTGGTGCGACTAAAGGGGGCAGTGAGATAGATTCCAAGACGACTGGGACTCGCCTCTTCTTCTTCTGGTGTATTAGTCACGTGTTTATCAATGATCTTCTCATTTCCTGATCTTTCTTGAAGCCTTCCAAGTCTAATTTTAGCTAAGACTCGCTTCATTTTCTTTTGAATAAATACAATTGTTTCTGGAGAAATCTTTGATAGTTTGTTTTCGAGGACATCTTCATGGTGGAAGGCTGTTTCAGGTCTTACTATCAAGCCATGTTTGGGTTTACACGAAAAATAAGTTATCCCTTGAAATGCGCCATTATTGCCCTGTGGATGTGCCTTTTCCAGCTCTATTCCAATCCATTCACCTTCGCCAAGTTTTGTTTCTCCTTTGTATTTCACTGTACCCAYATAACCTCGCACATGCACTCGATCTCCGATCTTGAAGCTAGAAATTGGAGGTTCTTTTTCAAGTACAGACGCAGATTCCTCTTTTATAACGTTATTTTCAGACTTATCTTTGCTTCCGTTTGCTTTTGAATCATTTTTTGATCGTAAACTGTTGTCATTTGCAATTCTAGACGATCCGCAGCCCATGTTTAGAGCCGTATTTGAAAAATGTTAAGTTAATTATTCTGTTGTAGGATGAAGTGTTTTGCGTTGCTAACGACAACAAACGTATTGAACAATAAAGATCACTGTTACTTTTGTTTTATTGGCATAAACATTAGCATATATACTGAAAAGTTTTTCTTATTGAACTACAGCGCCTTTTTTAACATTTACATCAGGGATGCAATTTCTTTCCTAATTAGATCAGTTGTCTCGGCAATGTTGGGCAAATATTTCTTTAAATACTTAAGTTTCTTTTTATCAATTTGTTACCCAAAATGCGTCGAATATGTACATTTTTGCTTCAAGGTCTATGTGTTCAGTCAATATGTTATATCTAAAAGATCAGATGTGTTATATTCTGCAGTTACTAAGTGGTTAATAACAATTAAGGATAATTAATAAATTTATATAAAGACATCCATGAAATAAATATATATACATGATTACAAATTGGCAAACTTTTTTTTAGTATGTTGCTCTATGACAATGCCTTCATTGAGTCTAATTTCTCCTGATATAGCTTGTGAAATTCTTGTGCAAGATAGTAAAATGGAGCTTCAACATTCTGGTGCTCTTTCTGAATTTAAAAAAAAAAAGACAGTGAAATATAGTATGAAGACTGAAAAAGTTTCATTGTTCTTGTCAAGACATTTATAATATTATTCCTATACTTACAGCGGAGCATTCAAAGTATTCCAGATTCTTTGAGCTGGCAAATTCTTTGCCTTCTTTACCAGAAACAGATCGTCTCTGCTTCAAATCTGTTTTTGTTCCAATCAGAGCACCTGTGTAAAATGAGGTATTTTTTAATGAAAAGTAAAGAGATAAATAATTTTCTCCAAACTTTAAGAACAGTTTCTAGTCTATGGATATGATTCCCTGCAAACTAGAGAAAGATGAAAGATTTGAATTTACATTATATTATATTATAGACCTACAGTTGAAGCTGGAGCTAAAGTTACATACCAGGAGTATTGGGATAGGATGACATTGCACGGCATCTTTCCAGCCATTTATTGCATGCATTGAATGAGTGTTCATTGGAAACATCGTAGACAACAAGAAGAAGATCTGGATTTTCCCACTAAAGGCAAAAAGGATTTGTTATGTTCTATATATTGGGGATGTTTTGAGACAAAGATCCAACAATGGTGGTTGGGGACAATCTAAAATAATTGTTATGCTTCACACCATATTAACCCAGTCACATACTTCTAGCTTGTGTAACAAGGTGTATCTAACAGCTTCAAAAAAGATAATTGAGGTCCATAATATTCATTGATTATCATCCAAAATACAATACCATGCTATTATTTATYAATTATGTTTTAATCTTACATATTGTTGAACTGTGTCTGCAAACATTTCCTTTCCAGCAGAGTCAATCATGTATAACTCCTATGAACAGAAATAATAAATTCATTATTATTTATTATTCATTATTGTAGAACTCATGAATAACTAATGAGGAAAACACACTAGAAATCACAACTGGGATGTTGTAATATTTGATACAAAACTGTCTTGATTTGCATAAACTTCAAATCTAATTTTCTCAGCCAAATTCAATTTTATCTTTACATGTAACTTTTTAGTAGATTATGAATGTATACATTTAAACATTTCACAAGTCATTTACAACATTCACATCCGTGAATGTTGCCTTCGGCTCGAGATTGTAAAATCCCATACAATACAGCCGCTCATGTTTTAAACATTACTTATAAGTTCATTGCAGAGTGGTAATAGACTTCTAATATTATCCTGAACATGCAGGGATTTTTCAGCCATCTTAATTATAGTTTAATACAATGAATGAAACTGCATTTATTTAATTTTAATGATCTGATATTACAAAATAATAAAAGTTATAAAAGTAAACCCAGATCAACAAGAAGAATAAGATCAACAACAATAAAAACAAGGACTGATATTAACCATAAAAACATCGAGGTTACAATTAACTATTTTTTTGAATAATATTGACAGCCTTCAAAGTGGCAATGATAGAATGCATAATTATTGCACTAAAACATTGCATCTTACTACACTGTCCTGGGTCTCTGGAATGTGAATCACTTTCACCAAAACCTCTGCACCAATTGTCTGAAAGATTCAATAACAATGAATTTGGAAATACTAGCTTAGTTACTAGTACTATATGTAAGAAATTATCAACCCTGTTTTCATTCAAGCATTACTCTGCTGCTAAAGGCCACTTGAGCACAAAAGTTGGAAGAAATAAGGTAAGCAGAGAATATGTAAAGAACAACGGACCTAGCTATGCAGTCAATAGGATGCTCTTACAGCTTATGAATATAGGGCGATTGAAAACCATTCTTTTGTTCTCTGTTACAACTGTACTTACTGCACAGAAAATGTTTATTGTGCTGTTTGTTATTACAACAACACACAAAATGCTTTTTCCAGTGTAACAAAAACAACAACGTCCTCTTTCATGATTTTGCATATTAAATCATTAGCAGACGTCACTTGATTTTCATTTTAAAAGTTTCAATTGCCCATAACTTAGAAAATACAATTTGAAATCAATTTCATTCTTCACAGATGTACTTTGCATCATTTTCTCTTTTGGATGAGAATAAATTTCTATAATGGTGTCATGTGCACTTTGATGTAAGGTGGTGATCAACAGTTAGGTTAAGTTATTAACCTGTGAGAATTATAAGCACTCCTCTTCCAATTGACCAAAAAAATAAATTTTAGGGTGTAGGGTTTGGGGGGAGTGCAAAGTTGTAGGGTATCAAGGGGAGCAACTTTAAAACACTGTGTAAAACTTTTTGTTCTAAGGACCAGTTAAAGACATCAATCTTTTGCCACTTGTACCCAGAGCCCACACTAGTTTGCCATTCAGAAGAAGTCAAAGCTTGAGAGCCTCTGGGAGATTCTATTATTTCTCAATTTGTGATTGGCTCAAAATGAGCACTCATGTACSTCATATTTGCGAACACAGTCAATTCCCTCAGAGTCTTTTCGACGTTGGCAGACCGCTGATATTTTTATTCAATTTAATTTAAAATCGACTGCTATATGATTGTGAGATCATGATATCTAAACTGGGCTGTTTCCATCGACTCACCATAGTATAATTTTTCGGATAGTGAGTGCCATCACTATGGAAAACCTGAGTTAGTGCGGTTTTTCCTGTACAAGAATCCCCTAAAAGAGAAATGAATCATCTATGATTGTTAGCACGAGATTATTTGTGGATTGCCAATACTCAGGTAGAGACAGTTTCGACTTGTGCGTACAACAACAAAATTGCTCAAAACTACACGGTTAAAAAATCAATAAAATACAAACAATTAACGACAAGGAAGTTGAACATACCCGCAACAATAAGCTTTGCCCTTAAAACCACCATATTCGCGAAAGAATGTTAAAAAAGTCGAAAGTTCAGTCTGAAATGTTTTTGACTAATGCGCCCGCGATCTTAGAGCTGGGAAAGTTTTCAAGTTTTCAGCCAGCGGACTATCACCTTGGCAACTGAAAAGATGCAGTAATCAATACTTGCCTTTTGAAGGTAGAAATGAAAGAATTCAGTTGGCAAGAACAAACATTGTATCATAAACATTACCTGCATATTAGACGGCCTATTCTACTTGAAATTTTCGTTAAAATTGTGCGGTAGAAAGTATTCTGAACGTTCTAATGGCCAGCATCTATTTGCCTCCCATTGCTCGCAAGAAGAAAGTCGAAGGTTGGCCAAGGTGAGAAATCAAAGTCATCTAATTTTATAGGTGGTGACTTGCCCCTTCTAAATACGCTTTAGTCTTCCCTTGAAAAATCTCTTTTGTCTTATATTTGAAATTGTTCGAACCTTTTCTATTCGCTCAAAACTGATCACTCAAATTATCTGTTTGTTTTGCACTTTATTAGCTTCTSGCATTAAACAAAGATTTTCAATTCAATAACATTTCTCACGTACATGTTCTGTTCAAATGTACCAATAGTGTACGTGTATTCATTGAGGTGAACCGGCTAACTTAGTCACTTTTCTTCCCAATTTCCCTAACAAACTCTCGTCAACATTTAACTAATTTGAATGATTTATTTAGATCTATATCGCAGATAAAGCAAACTATCCTGGAATGTTTATTAAGATTTAAGTGATTAAGTAACTGAACAGCTAGAAAAGATATAAACAAGATATAAGTTGATTCATTGATACTTGAAATTCATTRTTACAGTTATTTTCATTTTCAGACAAGACACCACCAGAGTATTTTCAGACTTTAAAGAGGATAAAAAGCAAGAAGCAACAAGTTATGGATCTCAGTTTGTACGTCATAATATTCCTCCAACACCCCAAAGRGCTCTTTCACCAAATCGTAAAAACAAACCACAACCTACTTCTGTAACCTTCTTGAGACAAAACCCTAGGTTTGTTTGTGAGCCAATTTGCCATGTTGATACGCCAGGATCTAAAGCAGAGACATTTCATTCCTGGTGGCCTAATGAAATTCTTGAAAGTCCTGTCGTAAAACCACAGTATACTCTCCATTCTACCTCAAGAGCCGATTATAAAACCTCAAGTCATGAGAATTCACAGGTTTCATCATATTCAAGATATGATACTTCAGTGTGCAAGGTTTTTAAGCCTAATTACAATTTTAGAGATTTCCCAGGATGCACCTCATCACAAATCATTCCTAACATGTCAGAGAAAATTTCTTATGAACATCAGTTTAATTCTAGATTAGATCCCAGTCATCCAATTCGAGGAAGAAGACATGGCTGCTTTGTTTTGAAAGCCACAACACCAGTACACAAAACACATCACAATAAATACCCAAAGCCAAGGAAATATGAATTTGAGTATATGAAGAATACAGAGACAGAAGATAACTGTGACACTAAATCAGTAATATCAACAGTCACTGAGAAGTCTCAAGTTCAGGAACATTCTAAATATGATAACAACAAAAAATCAAAAATGTTTGAACACAAAATTAAAGACAATGCATGGAGTGAGTACAATGATCAACCATTACAAGCAACACAAGAGGATATTCCCACCTCCTTGAACTTGACTGAAAGTGAAGTAGAAAACATGATCAAACCTTCTCGGCCAAGACATTCTCCACCACCTCATGTTACATGATTGTAATTATGTAGTATAGTGTTGTCTCAATAGCCATCTGTCTCTCATTCAAATAGGTTTTTGGGATTCACTGTGTTTATTTTGACTCATAATATTAAGTGCACTCAAGTAGGTACTTAAATTACAATACTGGTAATTACATATGATACTATATGAAATATAAATTAAGTAATTTGTGTGCTGGTAGATTAAAAAGTAGTTTCAGATTACATAAATCACAAAATTTGAACATCATAATGCATTTTAAAAATGTGCTAATTAAAATAACGTTTTCTACTTCAAGATGTTAAGACGTCAAACAAAACAGTCATTACATGTAAACTAAATATATAAGTGGGTATTTTTGAAATGTATTGTAGAATTTCTGTTTGGGTTATATTCTTACAAGGACTCAACAAAACTAGTTTTCTTTCTTGAGATTATGTTGAAATGCAGCAGGTTGTTTTTCCTGAGCCAGCCAATCACCCAACAGGTAAAGTAAGACCAGCAAAACAAACGCGCATCCAAAGAAGCACACAATCCATGGTAAACTCATTTTCTCCAAAAAAGGATAGACCCAAAACTCTGCATAATATGCTATCAGAAATATCCATATAGTGTACATAATTCCAAAGCCTAAAACACCCCTTATTCCTGTAGACTTGCTAGGATATTCGTGTTTGAAAAGTAAAACTTCCAAGAGGACTGCGATGCCTGGTAGCGTGTGCATGTATTGGTTCAACCATGTTGGAATTAGGTTAGCTTCTCTCTCATTTTGGCATGAATATGGATCCATCAGATAGAGAGCCCAGAACAAAAGACTTACGGCAAGTCCAACGGGAAATACCCAGGTTGCGAAAAGTATATCACATAAATAAGCCATCACCTCGCTCTTTCGTTTCTTGACCAAAGTATGAAAATCGGTTACAGCTGCAGATGTGAAATAAATCCATTGTAGTATCATATTAAGAAAAGTTAGAAACTTGAACCTCCCGCCAAACACTCTATAGGCGTCTAGATCCATCTCTATACAGTGATAACTGATACCAATTAAATGAACTAAGCAAAAAACATAGCGAAACAGCAAACGCGGAAACACACTGGTCGCCATAGTTCGTCCTGCAGTTGCCTTTGCCACAGGAACCCCATTCCATGACATCTTGAACTCGTGGATATCATGCAGCAACCTGCATGAACCTGCGTCGCGTGTGGACCTTTCTATTTTGTGCGAGTCGAGTTTTTTTTTTGTCAAAGGAAGTTCATTACATGTATTTTGGCTCATTTATTTTAAGTTAGATGAGATAAGTAAATTATTACAAGCATTTTCAGACCGTCTGAAGCATTTTAAAGCTGTGAGCATAGTTATAACTATGCTGTGAGGATATTCGCTTATAGTACTTCATGTAAGACTCGACCCGCATAATGGTGTCTTACATAAAGTGCTGTCCGGACACTCAGTTACGCATGTGAAACGAATCCCATCCACCTCGATAAACTTGACTTTGATACTGATATCACGGACGATTTTATCAAGCTAAAACACCATGCACGCCATCTTGTTCACACCAAGGAAGGGCTGAAGCACTTGTGACGCATTTGCTGCTAGGCGTAGTTCTACTTACCTGAAAACAGAACAGTGACTATTGCCAAAATTGGCCAAGATATGTTGCTCAGTTGCAGCCTGAGACAAAACTGAAACCCCTGAAGTGAAATACGCTTTGGGGATCTTTTGTTGTGGCTGAAAAGCGAAAGTTCTTAAAAAACCCTTAGGATGATGTTTCGAGCTAAAAATGTAGTATCTGTGAAAAGAAAGACTTTATCAAAATGTCGATCATCCATGAAGTGTTTTTGGTTCATTTAGTAGCTAATATGCTTGCACTGACTTGTGGATTGAACTCAACTATTAAACAGGATTTGCCAACCGAGAGTCCTGAAACGTCAGCCACGGTAATGAATTTATTGAAGTCGTAAACTGAATTGCAAATTCACAGGCACTATATCATCTTCAATCTTTAACAAGCATAGTTCTAGAATGTAATCTATACTATGGGAGATTCAATTAAGAGAATCGTTGAATTAATTAAGGCATAGCCAAACAAGGATATTAATTCCGAAATTAATGAGATTGAGATTTATGAAACAACGTATTGAATGTTTGGCGGACCTAACTGATTCTTTCCAACAAAATCAAACGTGATGCGTGGCAAAATCATTGGGGTTAACATGCGTTTGTATCATGATACTTGATTGTTACGTTTTTTATTACATTTCGTATAAGATTGATAGCTTTCCCTAATTCAGTAGTCTATTTAATTACTTCAGGAAAATGTTGAGCCAAAACCAACAATGAAGGACGTGTGTCGGGAGATCCCGCCAGTATTTCCCCTTTGGCTTCTGCAAAAAATTACTGAATTTTGATCATTATAAAATAGGTGGACATCATTATCGATATGTGTCATTATTATTGCGCAGATTAATTCGGTTTTTATTAAACAAGACCTATGTACATTGCAAAGTAACAACCCCGCATCTTGAACGTGCTAATTCTGAGCGCAGTGACTTTTCTCTACTTTAGGAACCAAGTGTTTCAATGAGTCGAAAGATTCGTGATTGGTTTCTCAATGGCTTAGCCTGGAAAACAGCAACAGTGGTGGCTGGTGGTTTACTTCTCTTAACTCTGCTGGTTCTCACTCTTTATAGAATACGAAAGCGGAGGATTTCAAAGAATCAAACATTACAAGTCTTACAAGAACCAACGGTTGAAATCTGCGTTCCACGGGATAATACGTTTATGGGAAGTCATTCGACAGGTGTTGTACATAAGGCTGATATTCAAAAATGCACTTCACCCACCGAAAAACCGCGCGTCAAATCAAAGATGTTGAGATCTTTCAAAGAAGACAATCCTAACATTCAGCAGCCTCGAGGATGTAAAAATGACCCAGGAAATGGAATAGTAAAATCAACGAGAAATGATCAAAGAACACCCAGCCACCTGAATAACACCAACTCAATATTTTGTAACTTGCAACACGACATTAAGTGCAAAGAAGTGATATACCAAAACCAAGAACATATTCAGTGTGGCAGCAGATTACATTCTTCAGCAGTTACTGAAAAACAACCAATCTATCAAAATAGCCATCACGCCTTGAAACGAATCAATTGGAACAAACAAGGTGTCAAAGAGGAAGTAATATATGAAAACACATAGCCGGACTATAGCCCGGATTCAAACCTCCCCGGACAAGGTCCAAGACGTGTGTTAAGTGCTGTAGTTATCACAGAAACCGCAATCATTCAAAGTATTATTAATGCAGCCAATTGACACAGTGAATATGAGACTTTTTGTAGTTATTTACATTATACATCCATTAGAGACCCATTTACAACTCATTATGGATATCTCGATTKCCAATTATGCCTGTTAATGCATTTAAATCCTCCAGAGACCTGCGCAATTCATTCTTATCTCGAATGGATTTTGCGTCTTCAATGTATATCTGTAGCATTTCATGAATAGTAAGACTGTCCCGCACATCATTATTGTTTTGTAAACTTAGTGCGCGATTCTCAATTTCTCTCCGTAAATCATGAACGTCATCGGATTTTACTGGGTAAGATTCGTAGTCTTTCAATTCCTTGTTTCGGATTTTACGGATTTCTTCTCGAAGTCGGTTGGGATCAACTATAGAACGAAGGCGATCGCGAAGAGCCTCCCTTTTTGCTTTGGTAATTCCATCTGACCTTTCATTCGGTTCTTCTCCTTGCTGCTGAATCAGCTTTCCTTTGCTTTGTTGTTCATCCAAACGAAGGTCAGGTTCYTTAACTTGCTTTTCTTCTTTTTCATTTGATTTCATTTCTTGCTCTCTCTTCCAAATTTTTCTATTCTGATTGGCAGTTTCATTTAAACAATCTGAAAAAAAAGATGAAAAAAATGTATGATTATATACAAATTTGATAAGAAATTTCAGAACAACATACTTCAAATTGCACTTCAAATACTCACTATTTTCTCCAGATTTCAAAATTTTATTAACACAAAGCCATTGTGTTAAATTAGAATCAGGCATGTTCCAGTACCAATGACTGATATCATCTTCATACTGCTCAACCATTTGTTCACACTGGACAAAGTAATCATGAAATTAGATGGTGTGACACTCGAATGCACCAATAAAATCAAGCTGGTACATTACATCTGGAACCATGCCAACCTTGGATTTTAATCTAGTAACCTCAGCATCAGGTGTGTCCCACAGTTCATCAGGAAAACCAAGATCCACTTTTACTCCTTTATTTTTAAGTCCTTTTAGAGTTTTAAAGGTTGTACTTTCAACTGCAATAAAGGAAAAAATATTTTAAAACAATAAATATTAAACAACTTTGATGAATGGTTGCTATTTTACTAGTCTCCTTTGCAGCTTAATCTTGTTGGGCTTCTTGTCCCTCACAGGAACCCTGACAAAGGTAGGCTGCAAAGGAGACTAGTATTTTACTACCTTTTTCATATCTAAAAGGTAATGGTTTGTCTTTGTGAACCTTGTATTCTAAAACATTTGAGCAGGCATTTTCAAGTGCCTCTGTTAGTCTCAACTCACTGAAAAAAAGAAAAAAGTTCAAGTGAATAATAACCAAGTTACAGCTGGGCTAATGAAACAAAAAATTGTTGTAGATCTTTACTTACGACTGTTGATAAGGAATTTTTTTGGGTTGTTTTTGAAACACTTGTCCCATATAAAGAACATCCTTTGATTTGCCTGATCTAACAAGTTCTTCAACAAGCTCTCTTGTCATGTGTTTACACACTGAAACATTAACACTGAATAGTTAACATCAAATTATCAAATACAAACCGTCTACATGCTTCGCTATCAGGTAAATAGTGCAACTCAAAATGTTTGTTTCCAAAGAGCAAATACCAAATTACAGCAGAAATCCTTGGCTAGCCCTAGGTTAGATGAAATTAGTGATTAGGGGTCTTGACTGCTGGCATGTAACTTTTTAAACAACAGAGTAGTTGAATCAAGAACATTAGTAAAATGCCCGAGATTGCAACTACTATATTGTTTTTATTTTTTAACAACAAAATTTTCTGAAGCGGCAGGCTCTATGCATTGATAGTACCCCTGTGGTAGGCACTTTCGCATCACATGGTTAACTTTCGACCAATGAGAGTGGAGGAAAATTTGTTGTTGAATTATAATTAACTGCTGTTCACAGCGATAAAAATATGATTTCCCAATTACAGATTTTCAGATTTATTCAAAAATATTGATAGCTATGATTTTCCTTAGATCAGAGATAGTTCAGTTTGAAAACATTCTTAGCTATAAAATACACTGGTAAGAAAGCATTGTTTAAATGATAGTTTATTCCCATGATGAGCTTACCTTAGAGTTTCCTTCATTATATATGTACATATATAGAAAACAAATTGAAGAATGTTGACATAGAAGCATATTTATGTAACTGGAATACTCTTTTGGTGTTTTGTTCATAAAAAGTGCAAAATTTACACAAAACCAACAACAAGGAAAGATCTTGGAAGAGAAAGAATAAGTTAAGTTAATGTTTATAAGTACAAACCATGACATTTGGTTGGGAGGGTTTCTTCCTTTTCATCCACGTAACTAAATGTTAGTGTAAAGAGGCAAACGAAAGGAGCTAGCAGTAAAACCTTGGCCATCTTTCCAGGACAATCAACATCAAATTGAACAATTGTAGAAGCAGCATTATTACACGATTAGCAGATGTTTTCGTTTGAATACAAGCACATAAACGCCCAGGCGTTCCTATCACATTAATCACTCAAGAATTTTATAGCTTTGAACAMTAGTCGATTTTAAAAACGATTCCTCTATAATCTTTAGGTTATCCAAGCCATTTTTAAGATTATTAATGCTACGCAGCTGACCACTTCCAATCAGGGATTCACTTTATTGCCCAGTCCCCCTCAGTTGTGCACAATATGGCGGCCATTGTGGCAGTAGTTCAGAGAAACATAGCCAAAATAGATCTTGTTCAGGGATGTAAGTTACTTAGAAAGAACGTGAACATGCGCATGACACTAAACATGAACTAACTTTCTTTTTATTGTTTTAAACGTTTAGTTACACCACTTGTGAGTCTATTTCGACTTGCCAGCAAGAAGGCTGCTGGAAGCACCAAAAACCAAGGCAAAAATAAAAAAGGAAAACACTTAGGAGTAAAAAGAAGAGAAGGTCGACAGCTATGCTAAGATAATAATAATAGTACATTATTGAATTAAACTTTAGATAGAATTACATTGAATTTACAAACAGCGATAAAAATAGTAAAATGTCATATATATTTATTTTATTCACTAACTTCCTCTAATGTAGGTGAAAAGGTTATACCAGGTACAATACTTGTACGGCAAAGAGGATATAAATTCCACCCTGGAGTAAGTGTAAGTAAATCCAACCTCTTAGAACACAGGCAACCCAAGCTCATACTTTTTTAAGGATGGATACCAGTCAGCATGCACTAATACTCCTTTGACTGAACTAGCTTAGGGTCACAGACCTACTTGGTACCCTTGTGAACTTTTCCTTTCCTGTAAATATATTGAATATCTTGTCTAGCATCGCCGTCCCTCCCGGAGTAGCCTGACAGAAACTTTGGTTTCTTAAGAATGAATATAGCAATTTATGACGAGAGTGTGAAGGTTGTTTTTGTCAGAATCAATCAAAAAAATATATAAAACAGTTTGGAGCATAAATGAAGAAAATTTGTCATACCTTAGAGATAACTCTAAGGTTTCTGCTAGGGTACTCCATCTGCATAAAGTGTCCTCCATCTGATCTGACTGAAAGTAGCCTGGGGAGGAGGCTAGGGTGTCCAGTGAAAAAAAAAAGATGTTTATGGTGTCATAATTTATAATGGTGTTTCATTGTATTTCTTATGCTGTTGATTAGCATCTGCTACATTATTTCAAATAGGGATTAAGAAAAATTTGACAGTTTTACCACTGTGATCACCGCTGTTGCGGTGTCCCTGCCCATACTAGGGACAAAGCTAATAAATAAATAAAAAAATAAAATAATGGTTGATCAGTTTTCAACACAACTGATTGAAACAAAGAATGCAGTCTCCTTCACAGTTACTTGAGCTGTCTTGAAAGGTAGCTGTGCCTTTACATCGAAGCAAGACAACTGTTGATAACTGTGAATAATTGTCTCTATAAAGGTGAAAGAAGGTTTCTATCATTGAAAGAAGGTTTCTCAGCGGTCGTCTCGCTTCGATGCAAAGGCACGGCTACCTTTGAAGATGGCACAGGRAACCTTGAAGAAGACTATTGTGCTTTTTATTTATCATCTTTAGGTTGGAGTGGGAAGAGATCACACACTGTACGCCTTAAGCGAGGGAGTTGTGAGGTATAAAAGGGAACTCTTAGATCCTTATCCATGGGGGCTAGGACACAAGGGCCCAATCCATGAAAGGAAGTTTGTGCATGTTGAAAGTGAAGTGAAGAGTCCTGAAGTTATTCTTGTTCAAGAATCACTGCTTGAATCTATTCCAGAGCCTACAATGACATAACTAAAGACTCTTGTTGAACTTGAGTTGTGATGGCAGAAATGGTTAGCATTCAAAAAGGATTAGAAATGGAAATGATTGAGACATTGTGGATAAATCTCATTGCAATATTATTGAAAAGTCGTGAATCATTCAGGACTGTGGCAGGTACCATGGAGTGAGTTATCTCTAGCACTTTTCCATTTTTTATCATATAATTTGTCCTATGCTCTTCTAACTTAACGCCCTGTCCACTTTTGCCGAATGTGCTTCTAAAAATCCAAAGTGAGTTGTATCATTCCTTTATGTATGTCTGAGAATCCAAAATATATCTCATTGAAATCAAAGTTATAGTAGTGAAGTTCTGCATGTACTCATAGTTAATAGAGAGGACTATGATGTACGCTGTGAACAGAGTGTATTTTACCTTACCTCAATAAAAATTGTTRTTTCCTTYGCGAATTTTTTACTGAGGTAAGGTAAATAACACTCTGTTCGCAGGGTAACTATGATGTACAGGAGTATTTTAAATCAKTTTTGCCTTAAAACGTTTTTATATATGAAATTTTACTTGTCGCACTTGGAACTATAGCACTCGTTGTATTTTTTCTTAATAAATCTTAAAACGTTTCTACTGCAATAATTATTCTATGATTTGTGTTTTGACATATAATAAGCCACCGTGCGCTTAGTACTTACGGGTTTCGAGTGACAGGGTTACGAGTTATGGAGCTATAGGGCTACGAAGCTACAGGTCATTGTGACGCCATTATTTTTTCGCTCCAAGTTGATGCGTTTTGAAGGCATAGACTTCACAAACCCATTCAATTGCTCTGGAAAAACTATGGTTTCTTGTTCTGAAATATCAAACGTTTGGCTTTTTCATTCAAGACATACCAAATTTCAATCAAGATGATAACAGATGGGTATGCATTACCGAGAAACGACGCCCCGGAGTTTAAAGGTTTTCGTATCCAAAGAAGGAAATTTTTTAATTAGTAGTTATATTATCAGGCAATAAAATACATAATACAGAATTTACAAGCATATCGTGACGTCGACGTGATGGTCCAGAGTGATCCCTGATCAGTCATGTTTTTTTGCCCCATTCAAAGTAAATTTYTTTCCAATTTTCTTTCGCGAATTGTTCTTGATTAAATCATCATGTTGTCTTTGGTACTGTCTTAGTAAGCTATCACACGACAGATTATGGCACTGGCCAAAGCTATTCGGTGGCATTCGCTTATCGGCAGAGGAAAAATGAGTAGATATAGCTGGGAGCGAAATAGTACTAGTACACACTTCGTGCTCGAGTCGGTTTACGAGTGATCTTCCACATCCTTTCTCCTTTTTGATTATATTCTTTGAGAACTTACTGTGCTTCTCATTTTCTTTCTTGTCATGACGGCTCTGGCCACATTTTGGCTTCCTATTGATTATTTTTGTTTTAAGGACTAGATTTTCTGATGCGGGCTGCCATATCCAGGACCTGAATTGTTTGCTTGCCCTTTCCAACGGACGTTTGAAAGAGTATTTTTTGTTTTCTATGACAGAATCGCTTGGACTATATGTACGCTCTCTCGCTAAAGGAAAACTTTTACTTGGTTTCCAATAGCTCATTGGATAGTACGATCTGCACAAAAACCTCGAGTTAAGATGAAAGTTTTTACTATAGACAGAAAAGTGTTTTTTGGTCTTTGTGTTTGGTCTATTTTGAGAGCAATTGTGGTTAATATTCTTAGATGTTTGTTTTGAAAATGAAGCATCCTTTCCTTGGCTGGAGCTTTCACATTTGGAAATAACATCCGCACTTTTTGATCTATTTAATAATGACGCTGAGTTCATGTTGGTGTTGTCTTGGATTTCTCGCCCACTTTTCTTCCATGTTTCGCCTGTGTTTTCCATTTTGCATGTCGGTTCCCTGCTGATTTCCTTTGACAAGAACTTTTCCCAAAATGTCGCATTTATATTCTCATTAACAAGAGATTTAGGTTTAAGCTGCATAATGTGTCCAACTGGCTTTTCCAAACTGGATTTTCGCGATCCATAGTCTCTGATACTACGTAGTTCTTCTCTAGATGGCTCTCGACTGTACACCGATAGCTTTACAATATCCCACTCGAAGCTCAGAATGTCCGTAGTTTCATCCGCGAAATTCCATTCCGAATCCCCATCACAAGTTAAGTTAACGCAACGAGATAGAAAATCGTCTTCCCCATACAAGCTCATTGACATCGTTTAGTCGATATTGAGAGTGAAAACTTGTATTTATATACATCTCTATACATTATAATGCGACTTCAATATCACCTGCAAAACACAAACCGGTTACCATAGAAATCGTATACGTGTATCCGGTTTCACTGAATCAGTGAGAGCCTTGGGACTGCAATTAACTTTTAACATTCAATATCGTTCCATCGAAATGTTTATGAGGGAAAAAGGGAGCCCTACTTARTGATCGCTTAAACACAAATTCTCAATCGCGAGTTCCCATAATGCCTTTTTCTGTGTTACGCCTTTGTGTTTGAAGGTGTTAACTAACTTTGTTTTCCAAAACGTCAGTTCAGGTTTTATCTGTTATGGTGCATAATTTCTGCGCCGTCGAGGCGAGTAGTGCTAAGAKATAATGAATAGTTCAATATAGAGTAGATCAGAGAAAAGAAAACAATGGAATTTGTCTGTACATTTTAGCATTATTTAATTATGCTCTACCAAACCTGTACATTGCCATTCACTTGGCCCTCAAATTCTAGCTCATTGAATAAGTTTTAATTACAATTACAGGCTTTTAGTTCATATTTACTTCGAGTGATGGGATATAACAGGGCGTTGTACAGGTTCTTTCTTGTTCATCATCATTTTTAAGATGGAGCTATGATTTTTGAAAACAAAAATATATGTACACAGAAATCCATAAGTAAGCAAGTCYGTGCTCATTTAAAATTCTATATAAGATTCTGTTCCATTAAATACTTCAATTTAATGCATATAAACATGTTGGAGAAGCACGATGTATATAAGCCTTTCATATATCATGCAGGGGACTTCCTCATCGCTCGCACTTCGATTCCAGATAATTTTCTTGTTGAGCAAGGAATGAGTAACAGAAGTTTCCTCCGGTTCCGAGGATTGAGCGCTTTAAGTTCAAGAATTTTTTGTTTTTGTTTCATAGGTGCAGTACAATTAGTTATCGGCAACTTGATTATAATTATGTAGACCGCATAGCACTATTTTACATTTCACGGCAACTTGATTATCCGTCTGCGAGTTCTGTAGTCAGACGGTCCCCGACAGGCATGTCAGCTGCAGGTTGATGATGGCTGAAAGTTCAATATTCTGTGAACCTAGAATAAGATATTCTAGCATACTCTCTTAATAAAGGAGTCGATGGAGATGAAATTAATCCCCCTTCGTATCGATTCTTTAATTTACACTTGCTGGCTGAAAGTGGCGGGAAAATGGGCCCATATGTGTCCCTGTTTTCTCGATCAATCACTTGAATGTCGTTGTCATAGTTACCTTCGTAAATGTTCAAGTTCTGTAGGTTAAAATATTGATAATCCAGATCAGAGGTTCTACATGAATCCGGATCGTCATTCCTACTTAAAACACACTTTAACGCTCTTTTACCTTTTTGAGCGGAATGGAGTCTTTTCGATAATGGAACTTTTCGCGTAGACTCATCTCGAAAGCTTTTTTCTGGCATTAATTTCTTCTTGCTATCTGTTTGTCCACTTGGTAACCCAACAACAATATTTTCAAGTTTTCTTGTGAATTTTTCTGGCTCCTGAGATTTAAGTGTAATGAGATGACGATGTTTCGAGATTTCATCAGTTGCGAAAAATTGACAAATCTTGGTCTGCTTTCTTGACAGTAGTCTATTGCGAGAGGGGGACTGCATCAATGTTTGCATTTTGAATTCACAGCTATCATGCTCTCTCTGGATGTCTAATCTGTTAAATTCTCGCTTAACTGTACCTTCTACAATACTATCGTTGGATGTCATCACTCTGTTTTGCTCTTGTCTAGCTTGTTTTTTTTTTGTGTGTGTGTGCAAACTTCTCCTTGAAGCATCAACTAGGGTTTGGAGAGGTTAACACACCTGTTAAGAGCCCACTAATGGCGGAAACTTTGCGGTTAGACTGTTCAATCGCCTTGAGTGTACAACACCGCGTTTTCGGTAACGCTTAGATTCGATCACACAGGAGATAAAAAGTAATGAGTATGGTACACGGCAAACCAACTTTCAATTCTCCAATTTTCAAGTAGTGAATTTTTAACAATGAATAATTCTAGTATGGGGTCTAGGCTTAAACAAATTGTTTTCGTTATTGGATGAAAATATATCAAGCACCTGCCGCAATCATGTGACCTCCAGAGCACCTGGCGTGTGCTTGGCTATAGAAACGATTATTTCGTCGACAGGTAGCATATTCAATTTAAAGTTTGGACAAAATAAAAAGCGGCAATCTAGGGCCGTTCCCAGGGCCTAACCCCGATTGCAAGTTAATATCCGTTTTGGGTTAGGATTAGGATTAGAAAAGCCATAATAAAGTATGACGAAAACCCCCGGGGGGAGGGGGGAGGGGGTGGTACTCCCATATATTTGTTATACGGGGACGTGCCGCTGGCCAAGGTATGGTTTTTGGCCTTACTGTCTTAAACAGGGTATACATTTCACCTGAAATTGTCTTAAACAGGCTCTACAATTAGATAAAAGACCTATAAATTTTTTTTCGTGTGTCTAGGACAGGGTAATATTTTCATAAGAAATACCGTTGAAATAGTAGAAATACCGTTTCACGTGATATGGAAACAACATGTGCATGTCAATGAAAAGTATATTTCCACAACTAAGGYAACTGTCAACGTATACTAGACGCCAAAACTTGTAGCAATTTCAGTAGGCTTATATTCTTAGATGACACAGATATTATCCTGAAACCTGCTATGAACAAGATTACCGGCTGAAGTAAGCCAGTTGCAGTCGAACAAATATTTCATCAAGGGCTGCACCCTGACTTCCACACAATGTGCTTGTTTTGTGGCGTGGATTGGTGCATTTCCAAGTCCCAGATTCCACCAAGTGTATGTCGTCTTTTTGTAGTTTTTGCCGATTCCCATCCACTGGACATTTGTTCCAAACTGTTTGATGTTGTCCTGTGAGCGCGTAAATTTTTGACACTTCTAAGACTGTTATTTAGTTGAATGAATTGCTGAAATATCGTATCTGCTTTGACTACATCTTGAACAAAAGACTCGTTCACCCACTTCTTCTTGTGATTCTTTAACTGCGCTAGTTCTATTCCACCCAAACTAAGCTCGACCAAAGACCGTCTTCTGGTTATTGGGGGCGACGGTTTACGTGAAGCCTTTGCACGTATAAAATTTTTAGCTATTACAGTTAATAATTTGAGTCTTTTTTCCAAGTTTTTAGCTGCTAATGTCGCTGCCAGCTTTTCTTTGGATTCTTTCAAATGTTTCATAAGGACAGCAATAACCACGTTAACGAGGACGAACTGAGCTGACAATACAAATGTTACAAAGTACAGCGGTGCGGTATATTTGCTTATGCAGCAATTTTTCCTACAACCCGCTGACGCGTCGCACTCAGACCTCAGAGTATCCTGTGAATAGAAGAGAACAAAGAAACCTAGAACAACTCTTATTATGGCACCAAATTGAATATCCTACACCAACAGAGTACTACCTTAAGAATACCGTTCCAGTTATCTCCTGTTGCTACCCGAAACAACGTCAACATAGAAGAACCAAAGCTGTTAAAGTTAGCATGTTGTCCAAGTCCTTCACACGGGTTCTCATAGGAACACTCTATTAATAAAAAACAAAAAATTGATAAGAACTTTACTCTGAAAGCTAAACATGGCTAACGAGAAAAACAGATAGATAATGTTGATGATATAGTTTATGATCGATTATTTGAATCGCCTTTAGGGGTTAGAGTTGGAGTTAGAAAATACATGCTGCAGAAATATTGAAGTTAAGTTTTGAAACAGATTCTTGAAATCAGTTGAGCTTCAGGAATGCCGACTATCCTTATCATCACCTCGGCTAGGAGTTGGTAAGTACTCACCAAGAGAACCAAATAATTGGATCCCAAGACAAGAATATATGAAGAATAGCAGCAAAAACAAGAGCCCAAGATTGGCAACCTAAAAGACAGTATCATGATCATTTAACCAAGAGTCAATGACAATCCTCACATGATATGGGGGTAAAGCTTACCTGGGGTAGAGCTTCAAACAATGTATCAAGAAGAGAACGAACTCCCTTGGCCAGTTTAACAAGCTTTAAAACTGGAACAATGTCCAATTAGTAATACATTCTAACCTTTCTATTTGATAAATAGTCGATTAAACCGGTTAAAATGACACGTGCCAGAAGAGATTACCTCTTACTATTCTAAGAACTCTCAGTGTTCTTATTACGGTGGGGTTAATAGGCAGTTCTTTTTTGACCAAATCATCTAATAATATACCAGAGACAGACAATACAACGATAAGTAAGTCGATGATATTCCATCTGCAATGAATTCATAATATACCAGTATTAAACTATCTTTGCATCATATTATGAATCTAYATTAGTATATCATATCGCCTTTTCAGTCTATCTTACGTATCAGCCCTACATACCTGTCTTTAATGTAGCGCAACCATCCAAGAGCTACTACTTTAAGTAAGGCTTCTATCACAAAAACCGCGGTGAAGAAGTAATTGCTAGTTTCCACAAAAATTATGAAAGTCTAAACCACAAAAACACATTTTAGTTAACACAATAATATATATGCTTTCTTTCTTTTTTTAGTTCTTTTTTTTAAATATGCTTTCTTGACGCAATGGAAATCTAAACCTACAATTTTAACCGGTCAGCAAAAATGCTGTCTCAAGATCACTGTCCTTGTTGTACGCTCCTAAGGCCTTCCAGAGCTGATATAGTAGATTGGCCAACTTGCGTGAACTTAATTTGAAAAAGGTTGGAAGAAACATCGATGTTTCTCAAAGGAAATTTCAGATCAGAACAGTAATTACGTTAGCACAAAGAGGTGACAGCTGATGATTATACCCACCGGTGCCATTTGATAATGCTCCATTGACATGCAGATGACGTTTACACAGATGATGATTGCAATCGCTATATCCCAGTACTGGTGCATACACACGTGGTAGATCCATCGACGTGCAACGTTATAGTGAACGGAGTAGTCTGAAGAATCATCTAAAGATAAAGCGACCCACTATTAGTAAAACATAAACGATAACACTATAATTCAATATCCAAACAAATGCTATTTGAATAGATTCTTTTTACTACTACAGGTATTGATCACTGGCCTTTAGTGAAAGCACTTGCCTTGTTCGTTATAATTAGTCTCTGATTTATGGCGTTTTTTCTTGGAATTCTGTTGCTCTTCGTCAAGCTGCTCTCTGCATCGTTGAAAGTTCTCAACTACAACGCCAACGATCATGTTTATGACAAGGAAGCCACCCAACAGAAGAAACGGGATGAAATACACCAGACACCACTCGGCATGGTTAACCTTAGGCTTAGAAAAATAGTGTCAAAAYCAGACAAAAGACAAAAAGAGAATTTACAACCGAGTTCCTGAGGGTTTCCAAATCTCATTTCCTGTGATTTAGTGTCTAGTGTCACAATGTCTGTATATATCCCAGGAAAGGGAGTAAAAGAGAGTCGAGCTTAGTTGCTTGGTTTTGTGCTATCGACCAGCACGCAATGAAATGTTTAGCACTTACTTGCATATCAATATCAACAGCATCTATCCCGTGGTGCATCACTTCAACCCATCCGTCACGCGTCGACACAACAAATAAAGAAATTAGAGCCTATAAACAATGATCAGAATACAAATAAATCAAGCTACCTCATAAGAGATAAAGCAATATGGCCAAACGTTAGTGAGAAATTCACCTGGAAAAGGTTATCAAAGTTGTAACGTCGGTTTACCCATCGACCATGTGTGCTGTTAAGGCACTGGGCGCGGTCAATCACGTGGTTATCCCCTTCACAGTGGTAAAACTTTCCCTTGAACAACTGTAAATTCACAAAATACTGCGAGATTATTGCATGCACCATTTCTTCTACGGTCTGAAAAGACGTATTTAGTCATGAATTCTGAAAAGTCGATGAAGGCTTTGAATCCTTTCCTGTTCAGAATAAGACTTGCCTGAACTCCAAGAATACCAAACATTGCAAAAAATATAGCAGCAATAAGGACCGTGTTGCCGATAGGTTTAAGGGAATATAGAAGAGTCTGTACCACCAGTTTCAGTCCAGGTGCACGACGAATCATTCTGTTAATTATAAAGAAAGGCTCTTACTTTTTATACGACTATGGCCACATAACTATGAGTTAAGCACCAGTTCTGATATACTATTCATTTTCTTTTATTTCTAAACAACAAGTTTTGACTAAACTTAAATCGAACTTTTTGGTAAAAACACAAGATATTAAACTCAAGTTGTGCTACCATTGCCATTTATTTACCTTAGAGGTCTCAGTGTGCGTAATGCCCTGAACACCTTTAAAGTCCCCAAAACGTCTACCGAAGCCGCTTGTGGTGAATATGTTATGATGACGTCCAGCCATGATATTATCACCAGTATAAAGTCAAGTACGTTCCAACCATCTTTAAGGTATGAATCAGAACCGATGATGAATCCCATGGCAACTACCTAAATATAATGTTTAATTGAATGTTTGCAAGGAAGCTGAAATAACCGAAAATGACACAACATACCTTCATCATCATTTCGATAGTAAATACCACTGTGAATAATAGCATTGATATGTCGATTATTTCTCTGACCTATAAAATTGAAAAGAGAGTTTAAATCTAGCCGCAACGTTGTTTTAGGGGCGGCATACATCTATATGCACACTTTCGCAGCCGTAATAGATGAGGTATATTTGCTAATATGATCATGTGTTTTATATACTAATTACCGCGACATATCGATCATAGGCTACTGTTTTAGTAATTGTTGCAGTGTTCATGCCCCGATAGGCTTATGTGCTATTCTTTCACCTCATTTGAAGTGCTCATTCTTAAAGTTTTTAAATCGATTTATTGAGACTATTTTCACAATATTGATCAAGGAGCCCTAAAAAACGAAAAACATAATGAAATGAATACAAACAATGAAGCAACTCTTATACCGTTGCATTGTTGTCTGTTCCAGGTCCCTCCATGGCAAGAACCACACAGCTCATCAGAATAAATACTAGTATCACGTAATCAAATATCTTGTGACTGCAGATCGTCAACAAGGTTGTGCGAAATCTGTTGATAAATGAATTTATGGCGGACAAGAACTTATCACCTACAAGAAGTATACGGTTTTGAACTATGAAAAGTTGTGATTAACTAAGACCATAAAGATGACTCATTTGTGCACCTCTTTTACCTGTCATCAGGAGAGAGCATGAACAATGACCATTCTCTTCTGCTACTGAAGAAACCCTGTCTCCCAGTGATCTACGATTAAATGTACAGGAGTAAGTTAGGCGATTTTGGAATATGATCACAGACCCTACTTTCGTTCCAATACTTTAGCCAATCAGCGAAGCCTGTATAGTAATGCGATGTATGTAATCACTTACCCTATATCGAGGTGTAGCCTGTGGCACACCAGTTTCAGGGTCAGATATGGCAATTATATCCCTGGTCGCTTGTTGCTTCACAACATTACTGTCAAATATTGTCTTCAAGTCTTGCTTGTTTTCGTGTGACACTTGATTATTGACAAATTCTCTGATAGATTCTTGGGTGGCACTGGTTGTGTGTTTAGGAATAAACTGACAGTATTGSTCATCTGTTAAAGAGCATTGCCCAACTTCACCACTATTCATTGCAATCTCTGAGCTTCTATCATTGTCGTTTGGTACAAAAGACGGATTCCATTTAAAATCCCCGGTAGATAATCTGTCACTGACATCGCGCGACTCACGCCCAGGCAGCCTTAAAGTCATTTCCCAAACATTTGTCGGGGTCTTTCGTTTCTGCTTTAATTCGGGCATCGTCAAAAAACTTTTCCCACATTTATTAACTGAAGTCGACTTACAAGAGTTCATACCTGCCCAATTTTTTTGAATACCCAGAGAATTTTTGGCTTTTGTACGTGCTTGTCGATTTGACCACACTGCACCACGCACTGCATGGCCACAATAGTCTAATGTCGAGTCACGTGAAAGTGAGCAATTTTCTTCGAAAACGTCTTTTTTAACAGAATCTTTCGGTTTCATGTCTGAGTGAAGATTGTAGGTATGTTTGGAATATTTACTTGTCTGTCCTTGCTTAATACTTGACCGGCGYGCTTCAGATTGAGCGATTAAGGTATCCTACAGAAATGCAGTCATTGAAAAATAAGAACAATTCATTATGCTAAAATAATTCAACAAGAATAATCTTATATCAACTAGTGTGGTTAGGAGATACTTTACTATCATCTGCTTACCTCAGTGTTTGTAAAACCCTCTACGAGTATAGCGACAAGTAGGTTAAACAGCACGTAGTACCCAACGATCATTAGCGCGATAAAATATAATGCCGCCCAATTATTTGTGACTCTCATTCCATCGTACATGACATGATTCCAGTTTTCTTGTGTAAGTATCTACATGAAACATATTAACACAATGAAACAAGAAGCATGGGGTTGGAAATGCAATCACACGAGGAAACATAATTATGAATTACGCTTCTATGATTTGAAAAGATCTTAAATCTTAAAAAATGTGGTGGAAATACTCCCCCATAAAAGCGGTTTCCAGCGCTGGCTTGAAAGGTCTATAATATCTAGAGCATTAAGCATCACATTGGACAAGAAATGACGAATGATAATGTGAAAAAGAAAATCATTAGAAATCATTGGTGTTTTCGTTGCATAATGGTCTAGATTCAGTACAAAAATCTTTTGTTCATGCGACCAAATATGGCATTAGTTGTGCACAAGTTCTAAGAATGTCATAAAATGTAAATGGTAGTATACTTCTCCCAAAAAGACTACTGACACAACCAAATGAATGATGCAGATATATACCTGGAATACTGTAACCATTGCCCATAAAAAACTATCAAAGTTGGATCTCCTTAATACTTTTTCATTGTTGGCATCGTAGAAGAAAAATTTTCCACCAAACAGATTCATTCCAAGAATACAAAAGGCAAACATAAAGAGAAAGAGAAGACCGAAAAAGGTCACTACGCTGTTCATTGTTCGGAGGATAACAAGTAGCTGGTAACGCACAGGGCGAACAAGTTTGAAAATGCGCAGTAGTCGAATGCTACGAAACACAGATAGCCTTGCGTAGTCTTGGTTGACGAGAAGTTCGGCAACGCTGAAGAAAAATAAGTGCAAAAGATAGATTATGATGGCTCGTATAATCATTTCGGACAAGACGGTATTTAATGCTGCGATGCATTAAGAGTAGGGCGAAGCGAGCTTTGAGTGAGCATGTGCAACTGAGAGGAACAAACGAGTAGTCTAGTCAGTTTTTGTGCACGGCAATTCCTAGTCTCTTCATGTGAAAACTCATGTTAAAATATTGATGTTCATTTATTTTCTTATCAATATTCAAGGTCAACCGACGAGAATCCTGTTATAATTCGACATATGTTTGTGAACTTCAATGAGGAGTTTGGGTAGCGAGCTATAGTGAAACTTATGTAAGTGTGATTGATTTGTGGACTAACTGGTAGACTGGTATTACTTGAACACTTGGGTCATATATTCCCTAATATAATGCTAGTAACTTACCTTACAACAACGACGAAGCCGTCAAATACGTTTTGCACCTGACTGAGATAGCCTGTAAAACCGTAAGCCATCAGGTTGATTAACATCTCTAGTGAAAAGATGCTTACAAAAATGATATTGGATTGCTCCAGAGCAGCGGTTAATCTTTCGGGCTACATCAAGAAAAACAGAAATGATAGATCAAAGCTGTGACTTATAAATCGAAAGTAAAATCTGAAAAAGCAAACTAAAAGATTGGAAAAAAGAGCACAAAAAAATTCATATTCAACAATTAAGCAGAGAAATTATAAATATATGCATACAAGACTACACAGTAAGACTCGATTATGATCCAGTACCTGCTTATAATGCTCCAGTCCCATACAAATCATGTTAACCAGTATGGAAATCATAATAAAGTGTACAAATTGCTTGCTTTCAGCCAATCTACGAAAGAAATTGCGCAAGCGACTACAAGGCCCATTTTTTCGTGCAACATCATAAGAGTCACATTGCCGTAGATCAAAAATACTGTCGTAAATATCATTATCTTTGCGAGTGTGAATTCCACGAGATTTGCGTTCATCCGTGTCAGCTACATAGCCCTCATTGTTGTCGCCTATATGAAAAAATGTTAAAAGGAGAGAAATTCAGAAGGACAGCTTTTAATAAAGTATGCACATATTATATTGAAGCCCCGTCTAATGTTGACTTTCATTCAAATTGCAAAATAAAGAACCACTGTGGAAACATAGAAAGCCAGGCTTCTTGTGCACAACCTTTTCTCATCCCTCCCTGGGAAGAGACGAGTGTTTACACAATACTTTGGTAATAATACAACAATGGTTTCGTGAGGTAATCGGCAGATTTTCATTAGAATAAATATCCATCTTTAGATTGTCGCTTACCTATGTGGTCACTAGTATCTGTAACAATACCAATATCTACCATATTGTTTGGACTGACATTCTGACCTTTTTCTTGTGATGTGTCATCACCACTTTTAGTGCCATGAACACTACTGTTGTACATCTGCAACGAAGGAACTTCAGAAAGCCTGGAGGTCCCGTTCCTTTTGTCGAAGCTGTATTTACTTTTAAACGATTCCTTTTCAAGTTTCGAGGTTTCAATTTCCAGTTTCTTTAGCTCTAGTTCTTGAAGATCCTGCCACTTTCTAGAACATATTTGAGAATTTTTGACTGACATCGCGATTTCTTGATCACCAAACGGTTGGCTGTGACGTCGTTGATGAACAGAATGATTTGTAACTACTTCGGTGTTACTTCGTTTACCACATGTGTCACTACTACTACGAGGTCGTGATTCAAAGTCAGCAGAAGAAGAATCCGATGTACCCGCGACAGCGAATCCATGATCTTGACTTATTCTGATAATTGGTAAAGATGCTGATGCACTGGCAGTTGCATGAGCATTAGCAGCACCTGAAGGTACAGTCAAACTAACGCTCGATGTTGCTAGAATTTCTTTGGAAAAAATAGATGATGACGCTTCTGTATGAATAGAAATGCCCTTGGAGAAAGCGGCAGACTCACTTTTTGGGAAGAGAAATGTAGAACGGGAGGGATGTACTTGTAGATCGGATATTTCATCATCAACTTTTTCAATGGTGATTGCAGGAATGCAAGGCCCTGTACTTGACTCATCTTCTACTTCAATTATATAGGGTTTGGATTTTATTTCTGGAGAAAGTACAGGTGACGACGTGTAGCAATCATACAAATGATGATGAAAATGGTGGTGATGGTGAAAGTGATGGTGATGGTGATGAATTTGACTTTGTTTTCTCTTGAAGGCTTGTCTTGAACAACAAAATTCTTGTACATAACGCTTAAGAGTCTGAAAACACGAGTAGGCTTGCATACTAGATATGTTTATCCCTTGACGACGCCGACTTTCTTCAATAAGTTCAATTTCCCTTGCTTTTGTTTCCTGGAACTGCATGGTAATAACAACCAAGCACAAATTGACCAAAAAGAAAGCACCAATCTATAAAAGGTAGAGCTCAGATATTAATAGTTTATATACTATAGCTTATATAAAGTAAGACATTAATGTTAAAACGTACCACAACTAAGATGACGAAGTATATCCAGTTCCAGAAGCTGTGGGAGTCTTGCACAAGGTACATTATTTCTGACCATCCTTCTAATGTAATAACCTGCAGACATGAAGCTAAACTGATTGGGATTTTCCATATGAACGTGTGACGTGTTGAGGACTAACCTGAAATATTGCTATCCAAGCTATCACTATATTATCAAATGATGTCGTTCCATAAAAAGGATTAGGTCCCTCTCTCCTACACGTTTTATACAACCAGCCAATGCAGTCACTGCTATTGATCATTGTGTGATTGTGATGGACTGTGCGGAAATTTTGAGTGCAAGTCCTGTCGTTTGCATAGTTTGGTGGAATATGATTGCATGACGTCATGCCATTGTCTTGTGGAAGTGAACAGATGTAATCAGGTTTATCAAAGCTCGGCTTGTAGAATAAAGATTCATTGGTTCTAAAAAAGTGATAAATATATATTATAGAGATAATGTGTAGTAGACTTCAACGGATGTAAACCTGTCTTCTATATACCTTTGACTGATGTTCAAACTAGATGTTGTATGTCTTATATATGTTCATCCTTACCCACAATTTATAGTTGAAACGTCGCAATTTTATCCTACAATGCATGACGTAATCAGACATAAATACCTAGCCTATTGGAACGATAGCAATTCTAGGTATACTAGCACTATGTGTTTTATTTTGTTTTCTTCTCTGTCTCGTCTTCAACACGTTTCGATACAGAGACGTAGCGTCCATATTGTTCACAAATCATAAATGCATCTTTGAAATAACAATGAAAAGAAAACAACTCCAACTGTGTCGTAATTTGCGTCGTAGACCGGAAATTGTATCGTTTCCGTAAAATGATTAGATATATTACTACTAGTGAGGACTAGAAGACACTGTACTAGGAAAAGCGAAATATTTTAAAAATATGCGAGACGTTATTTCCCTCTCTTTTCTTTTCTTTTCTTTTTTGCAGTGGCTTTGGACGTCATATACGTACTACGCCTCCGGGTACAGTCGTTTCCTACTTACCGATAGGTTAGGGGCAAATCAATAAAACATCGATTCCTCAAATGTCCCTGCCATAATTGAACAGCGATGATGCCAAATACAAAAAATATTAAGAACGAGAGCAAAAGAACATTCCCCAACATAGGGAGAGTGTCGAGTAGAAGAGTAACCAAAATACGTATACCTACCAATCAAACAAAAAAAAAAACAATAAAAAAATCACTGATTGAAGCATTCAAATCCAGCCCCGAAATCGTAGTGATTCTTACTTGGAACCTTGTTGATGGCTCTCAAAGGTCGAAGGACCCTGAATGCCCTAATAATTGTCAAGTAGTCGCTGCCCTCCATTAACTTTTCTACAGTTCTAAAATAAAGGAAACAGATATAATGACAGAGCATCTGCAATATCCTTGTTACCATGCATAATAATACTCACCCTACTGCTATGATCACGAAGTCTAGTCGATTCCAAGGTTCCTGCATGTACCCCTTCTTACCCCATACACCCATTGCTATCATCTTAACTACCAGCTCCAGCAGAAAAAAAGCAAAGATGAAGTGCTCTATACTCTGCAAGATCTGACAGCGTAAGCTCTCACATTGTCTATCATAGGGATCATCCATTGCTAGAGTTACACAGTTGACTAGGATGACAAACATACTAACGCGCTCAAACCAGGTGATAATGAGTTAAGGGAAGATAATTTAAGTGACTATGCCGTGCATGAATTAGTAAGGACTGGATGAGATGCAATGTTGGAAAACATTACCCTTTGCCTAAAGGACTGGAGATAACAAGAAATGGAAAGAAAAAAAGCCCGACTCTATTGGAAAACCTCCTTACTTACTTTTTTGAATAAAAATGCCGACTTAAAGACTGATCAAACGTACAAGGAAATGAATTAGAATAATGAATTTAAAAAAATCTTGTACACAACCGTAATTGCAAAAAGAAATTGAAAGAAAAAGAACATTTTTATTTAGTAAAAAGTAATAAATTAAAACAGACAAAAGGATGATCGCTCAGTCTAAAAGCTTTCTTTTGTCTTTTTTACAAATGTTCTGTTTCTCTATGACAACCACAACGTTTTTGCAACTCGGTTGTATATAACAATTATATCTAGTGTACTTGTGAAAATAGATTTAATCTAAGTTAATGGGTCATATAAATAGCAGTGCTGCGTTTAAAAATATCAAAATCTACAGCCCTGTTCACGTGTATAGGGGTATTTTGAATCAAGCTGAAGCTTGCTCATTCAAACGTATCCGGACTTCAAAATCATGCAGGTAACCATGGGCACCGAATCCAAGGCTTTCTACATTCAAACTCTATTATATCTTTGTTACAGTGGTGTTTTATTATAAACTGCTCATTCTAGCAGCCAGTTCTTACACAATAGACCTGTTCATCAAACCAATTTAAAAATTTTAAATTTAGGTCCGCAAAACACCCCCCCCTCCCCATTTGTAAGGCAGTCTAAGGGCTTGCAAGTACGAGAAAAAAGAGACAGTGAGCCGAAATAAAGGCACTTAACTTTCAAATATAGAAGATTATACTAATGACAGATTTCAAGTCTTCGACAACTCGCTGATATTTTTGGTTAAATTTTCGTTGCGGCTAGCTAGCGTGTATCCAAGATTAGGGAATTTGAGAAAAGGAAAATATCAATAAACAGCCCAATAATAATTGGTTTATGAGCGGCTTTTAAAGCGACCAACGGGAACAATCTCCCGGCCAATAATCCTCTGTTGAGGGGCGGCCGTATTGGAAAATAATAATAATAATAATAATAATAATATGCGAAGCACTAACCAGCCGTAGAAAGAAGGCAGCGAAGACATAATTTCTCGCCTAAAACAATGAATATATAGCATCCATACAACTTATCTGAAATAAAATAAATGTACGAATTGTATATAGTAAATTTGACTGATCCCTCCTCACAACCAAATAGCCAGTCAAAAATTGATCAATCCAAAGTGTTTCAAACCATACGGTGCATTTTGAACACAGCCAAAAAAGCATAATTTGTGTTCCTAGGAATAAAATATTTCAAGTTATACGCGCGATCAAGTGTTCTTTCATAGTAAATTTTCAGGGGCAGTACACAAGGAGATACTAGTTCATCTCCATTCGTATGTGATAAATGTAGAAGGCCATTATATACAAAATCGATATCAAGTATAATTTGAATTGAAAAACAGATTTGCCGGATTCCATTTTGCAGGTGAAAATATCATATTTCATTGCAAGATATGTAGTTTGATGGTATCTAATGTCAACAAATAAAATGCTTCAATCCGATCAAGAGTCAAGAAAGAATGTTTAAAGCCTACATCCAAATCTTACTAACCTAATCCATGGTTGACAGTCAGTTGATGTCAGGTCTCAACAATCTATTGATTTGACATCTTAAAGGTTTAAGGCAGTGAGCAGTGCTGAGCGAGAGAACAACCTTTCAAGTGAGTAAATGAAAGAGAAATACAAGTATAAACGGGAATTGTTTTCCACTTTAAAAATAAGCTATGAAATTTTAACTGTTGATTTGACATTTAAAGATATTATAAAAGGATATCGATTGCTGTACACGACGAGGAGCCAACGTCGCGGCAGAGTTCTAACTCCAAGAAACATACACGAGATTTCCTCTACATCAATCTGGTCGTTCGAGGCTTCGTCACGGATGGCTTCTAGCGCGACCATATCGTTGTGGCCACCTTCCATGCTTTCTTTTTTCACGGTGTATTGATCGGTTAATACTGCCACCGTTACGTCAGCTGGTAGCGATGGTAACATAAAAGCCAGTTACGATCCGGCAATCACTTGAATTCTCGTAACAGTTCTCTCCTAAAACGCAGGTTGTTTGCAATGTAAATCATGTCAAATCTGTTGGATATGAGTCGCTTGTCCGATGAGAAAGTAGCTAGCAAACATTCTCAAGTCGGGCAGATCGTCTTGGGACTGAGGACTGGTAACTGAAACATGAAGAGCGAACTCTTCAATTTAAAGGAAAACAGTTCCAATATTTGTGCACACCGTTTTTTTAATGATTATTTTTGAAAAATATCATTATGCTGAAATATAGCAACAATGAAATTATAAAATCACTCGACAGCCTTGAAACGATGTTGAAACCTAAAATTCTATGATAAATATATATATGCCTGCTGTAAACAGGTGTTTTTGGTAGAGCTTAACTGGGGCAATAATTCTTGTTCACTTTTAAAATATAACATGAGCTGCGTGGTTACCAAGTCCTAAATATCATTTTCCATTTTACCAATTTTCAGCAATTTCGACCCCCCTGAGATAGTTCAAATATATCAGAGTCAACTTCCAAATTATGTGATATTATCGCAAATATATCATTTAGGTGTCCAGTACTGTAAATATTTTCTCAAAAAAAGTATCAGCTAAGATATCCCATCATTATTTTTAGGTCAATTGTCACAATTATTGCAAATAGCTGTATATTCAGCTCATGTCATAATAATTATTATTTCTTAACAAAAATTCTTTTAGTTTCATCAAAGACATATTCCCATCACGAATGTCAAAATATATAACCATTACCTAAGATAAGTGATATATGGTTCCTGCTTTTAATGGTCAGGATGGTAAGTGATTCATGAAATAAATAAAACAAATTAATCAATGCGCAAATAAAAAAACATACTTAAAAATCACAACATAAAATACATTTAAAAAGTATAACATAAAACATGCTCGTTTAAAAAGTGCGAAAAAGCTTCGATTCACTTACTCCTGCAGATAATTATGACATCATAGAGGGATTTTAGTAAGAAGTGTGTCATTAGAGTTTCTGTGATTTGCTGATAAATAGGAAGAATTGTTTTTGCCTCGATAATATGCATTTTATAGAGGATATAACATGACGTGAAGAGAGATAAGGATTTCGTCTTCGAGCATTGAAAGGGCACGAGAAGATAAAATCCCAGCGACCAAAAACTGATTGTCTATCRTAGAATAATCCTTGAAAGGAATTACATACCGCTCTAATAACTGTAGCTACAGCTATACAATACATATAGTACCTATAAATCTCATTTGCAGAAATTAAGAAATAGTTTATAGATAACGGTTTTCATGTTGATGTTTGCAAATCTCTTCGGCAAGAACACTGTGCATAGCCTCTCCTTAATCTTCTCGAGTTATCAACAGGTTCAAAATATTTTCACTTCAGTCATCCTCAAAACGTTATAACATAAATCTATGTGCCTTTGCTCTCTATTGCTCGCCTAGTAAGTGCTAATGGCTACACTCGGGTGAAACCGGGAATTGCTCTATAATGAGTGCATTCTTTAAAAAACGTTTATATTTYCTATTATAAACTCATTAATAATTCATGAACCATTACTCGGCTGTCTATTTGTTCAGCTGATTGATCTTGTAAATCTGATACAACACTAGTCGTCGTTATTGACAACACGGTCGTTACCCTTGAGACAATCCAACACCAGCAAAGGTCTCAGTTTTAGTATCGCATCATGTATGTAACAAATGGCTTGCTTCCATGTGGGATGAATAATAATTAAAATGTCCTGTGTTTACATTGCGCATGCTCAAAAGCGACTAAACTCAGCAGTTACCTTGTCAATCTCGTACCCAGAGCCGTCGTTCCTCTTGGTCAGGCCGAGAAACGAGGGCTCTGGCATATTCTATTTTTTCATCAAAATTTCTGCAGTTCCGGTTTCATTGCGCATGCGTTGACCGAAATCAAAATGCCGGAATATGATATGTTCTAATGTTTTATGCCGCTTTTGACCACGGTCAGAAGTACATAACCAGAAGTGTCCATCTCCCCAATAATATCGACACCATCAGATATCCCGATAATCTATTTTTAGACAACCAATCACAACGCGCGCACATATTACACGGCACCTGATTGGTCCTTGGTTATGTACTTCTGCCACGGTCTAAAAGCGATTCGAAGAGATAATTTCAGTTTAAAAGGAGGGGGAGTTTTCGAATCTGACACCGTTGATTTTGCAGTTTCCAACTAAAGTTCTACTTAATTTTAGACATTGCCCCCCTCATTAAGCACATAGAATTATATGTTGCCCCCCCCCCCCCCCCTCCTGATAAATATTGCGCAGTCCCTAAAGTTGACTATTGTGTCGCACTAAGAGATCGACTTAGTTACGTAATCACAGTGAATCGAAAAGAATGTAAAGCCCGTTCCTGAGAAATCCCACAGGTTTCTGTCTGCAATTTGCCATTAGTGTAAACAACGCAGAGATAACCAGAATATTCTTTACCTTTTTAGAATATATGTACTCTATTTCGTGTTAGGAAGCAGTTAGTGTCATTATATTTGGAAAACTAGTTCACGGAATTCTCTCTGGTCCGAAAGCTTCTTGAAAATGTCCCATTTTATCTTCACTTCAGTCAAGTTAGATACTTAGTCAGTCATTAAGCGCCATCTGCATGAGAGCATATTGTGCAACAGAATTTTGCGGAATGATTTATGCCGAAATTCAATGCATTCAGACATTGCCAGCTATGGGGATTTTCTCCTAAAAACGATGTCATGGAATCTATTCCAACATCTTTTTTAAAACGGTATAAATCCCAAAAGCAACTTTGATCAAAATAAGTGAAATACATCGGTAAAGTCTTTATACAAGCTCCAACTCTTTGCAGCAGGTGCAGTCTGCCAACATCAGTCTCAATACTTAGATGCAAAATACTTTATCAGAGTGCATTCAACCGTGTATCGTGGAATGGTAAATGGTAAAATAAAAAATAAACGTAAAAAAGTTTGTCTTCTAGAGCAATTTTGTGTAATTTTCATGTAAAATGTTGACCATGTTGACGGAAACGATAAAAGCATTCTACAATTGTATGCATATCATGCACAAATATATACACTGTAAATATATATACATCATCAAAAAATACCTACAAATACTATCCATGGACTTTACATGAAGAACTTCAAGAACTGAGGGTGACGTGAGAAGTTAGTTTAAAGTACCAGACCTTGTTATATTCTAAATCACCGTGTGGGCTTTGTGCCTCTACTTGAACCGACGACATAACCTTAATTATGAAAACTTACTGCCAGATATTAATAAAATGAACATCAATTCGAATGTTTAATTAAATTTTTAACCGTTAAACTTTCCACATGTATATGTCATGCGTCAATATGTCAGATACTGATACTGAGGTCCATAAAAATGAACGAATTGCAAAAACTACTACAAGAGTAAAAACGTACACTATAAGCAGAATTGTTCTCATTTACCCGAGAGTGCAGACATAGAAGCGTAAAAAACTAGCTACTGAAGTCCAAAGGTTCGGCACCATTTAAATACTAATAGTAATYAGTTGAAAGTTTTTCTTAGTTTTTAGAGAGAAGTAAATTGAAGCATTGCATTGTTGCGCCTATTTAAACACTTAAACCACGCGGAAAAACATTTCTGTGTAAATTGCATACTGAATTATGCAAATTAATTTGTTTTCTATTGTTTCATCTACACTATAATTGCGCAAGCCTTACTGACGGGTTATGGTTTTTGTATGCAAATTGACGATAGTATCATTAAAGTCAATATCTTGAAATGAAAAAAAAAAACATTCTCAGTTATTGAAATACAATTCAAGTCCTAATATTGTCGGGCTTACATTAAAAATCTCATTCATATTTAAACATCTTACTCGATATGACTTTGAGCTCCTTGAATATTGAATATCTATTTGTATAATATTATTTTAGTAGTATGTAAACGAAAAATAAGTTTTCAAATAAAAATAACATTTATAGTCTACAGGTTTGTTGAGACAGAGAAATTGAGCTATAAAACCAATAACCATAGTTAACTACGTTGAATACTGAAAAAAACCCTAGGTAGTTTAATGCTTTAAGATTTATTTAGTCTAGTTTTGTGTACATTATAGTTGGCATTTGAGAAGAGAATGACAGAGCACCATCAGGATCATAAAGCTAAGGAATGAACCCAACGATTATTCTGGAATGATTCCGATGGTTACCATGGTAACGTATTCTAAGCCGGTGTATTATTGTCCACAAATCATGCGTAGGTTGTTATGTTTCTAGATTCGGAGGACACTCGACGAAGAAAGACCTATCTTTGCCACGGCGTGTTTGTTATTCTGCTGTCATCGTATCCAAAATATCCTTTAGTATAAAAGTCGATAAAAGGGTAGCCCTCAACATCGGTTTGGTCTTGTTTTCTGTTCGTATTAATTCTCTTCGCCTTTCGTGTCGACAGAGCACGTCAAACAATCTTCGATTTTGTTAGATGTAAAGCCACATCGGCGTCCTGTTTTAACTGAACCTCGTCCAAAATGTCGAACTGCTCGAATGTGGTCACGTACAGTTGTTCGAACGAGGGGACCTTGCTTTTGCCGTTCTTGAACGAATCAGAATGGAACAAAGGTTTGCGTACTTTTGTTTACTTGATAGCATTATTGTGGTGTTTCATGGGAGTTGCAATTATCGCTGATATTTTCATGTGTGCAATCGAAACCATTACAAGCAAAACGAAAAAGGTCAAAGTTGCTAAACAAGGACCGAAAGCAGAATCCGAATGGATTGAAGTCCGTGTTTGGAATGACACTGTCGCCAATCTAACGTTGATGGCGCTGGGTTCCTCTGCCCCAGAAATCCTCCTGTCGATCATTGAGATTGTTGGAAATAAGTTCGAGGCTGGAAAGCTTGGTCCAAGTACGATTGTCGGCTCAGCTGCCTTCAACCTCTTGGTCATCACTGGAATATGCGTAATGGCCATTCCAAACTTCGAATCAAGACGCATAAAAAACATTAAAGTTTTTGCTGTTACCGCAGTTACATCTCTGTTTGCTTACATCTGGCTATATGTGATTTTGGCAGCTAATACAAAGAATGTAGTAGATCTATGGGAGGCTATATTGACTTTCTTGTTATTTCCTATTCTTGTTATTATCGCATATATCATGGATAAGGATTTCTGCTGCTCAGAAAAGGTCCAGCCAAACCAACAAACGGGAATGCTTGAACTAGGTAAGACAAGTATGTACGTTTGTTAAACAAAGGCTGCTATTTAATCCAAATGCTTTTAATCAGTTGGGTGCGTATCATATACATCAGCTAAGTTATAAATACAATGAAAACAATTAATATTACACATCAACAGATGCACGATTTCATGAGAATATCAATATCAATAGGAATGGTGTCTGAATACATTTATAACATAATTTTAAAGCTGTGTACATATTATGTTATTGCATGCCAAGAATTTATCTTTACGGGTGTACGAACGAATATTAAGCAATATAAGTTAATTGTAACATGAGGGATAATGGATACTGGAGATATGCCACAGCATATGCACACTTGAGAGAAGAAAAATAATATTGACAAAACATGCTTTTGCTAACATACATTAAGATGAAGCTATTATATGCTTGCACTTGAGAAGTTGAAAAAAAATATTATTCAACTTTGAGTAAAAGACCATGTCAACAAAAATAAATCTYGATAAACTGGATAGCTGAATCAGTTCTCCTTTGCATAGTAAAAACATAATTATCCAATACATGTATGACATTATCAATGATAACACTAACACACACACAAACAAAAGCTATGCTAGAATATGTTAAATATACATTTGATTGCAAAAAGGTTGTAAGTACATGCACACATATAGATTTAGAGTGATTAAGCCATAATTGAATGTAACTCTGCATGTCATTTTTTTGGTATTTTATGAATCTCATTATATGTAATATATGTGTATACATGTAGGCATTATGTCGGTGAGCATGTGCAAAAAACAATAATAATGGCACCTTATAACCACTGGTATGAGCCAGTCATGAGTATGTCTTTTTTAAAATAATCTTGATAAAAGTAAACAAAAAATCATAGCAGTCTCAATTCACAGTCTATTTATTTCTTCGTGCTCCAAACAAAATGCATGCAGACAGAATGCTTATGTATAATATTAAGTATATATATCTCAATCCACAACCTCTTTGCAATTGACTGCATGTTATTTATTATAGAATTATTACAGGTTTTTGAGACACCCCCCTCATGAGATACCGCCTTATTAGCCATATTTTCGGAGTTATGAAATGAATTGTAATTTCTGTCATATTGAGCCAATCGAAAAACTAACCATATCACTTAAAAGACTTTATTGACTTTAGTGTAAGTTCCAAGTTACAGATCATTTGGACAAATATTCAATTAATGAGAAGCCGTGCAATTTACAGAGAATGTATGGGGATTTTGACCGCATCCCCCAAAACAATACATTCTCTGTTAATTTGATGAAACTAGGAATAAATACTGTACATGTTCAGCTAGTTTTTATCCAAAGGTTTTGAAACTTGGTATATTTACTAATTTTTGGATGTCCTTTCATGGTGTGGGGTTTGTTTCTTTATTAGATCAATATTTCTTTGATTAGTGCTCAGTCCCCTGCTTAACTCCGAAATGGCTAATAAGACTTATCAATTGCATGCCTCTAATTAGAATCATATGCAAAACAAACTCCACTATACTATTATACTATTATTGGGTTGTGTGTAAAACTAGGAAAACATGCTATCAATTAATTAAGGTAATCAACTATGAATTGATTATTTTCCTGCAAAATATGTAGCAGAAGGAGGTCAAAAGTTTTCAGTTTCGACAGAGGATCCAGAGGTGACAAGTTTTATCAAGGTAAATGTGTTGTCACAAACATTTTTTTCCTTGCTCACTTTCATTATAGTTGACCGTTATACTGATCATTATTTGATTTCTGCTTTTCATTGATTTTGTAGGAAGTGAGTCAAATTCCAGATATCTCTGAGAATGATGCAGCAAAACTTGTTGCTGCTCACATTAAGTCAAAAGAGCCCAAGAACTATGGATACTATCGAGTAGGAGCTATTCGAGACATTGGAGGGGGCCACAAGCTCAAACCTAAAATGGACCCCAAGTTAAATATCGTAAGTTTGCATCTTTTTTTAAGATAAGATGATATAACATACTGAAATAACATTGTTGCATAATTATCATTATTAATATATCATCATTATATTATTTTGTAAACTATTTCATATATTTTTTTGAGGGCCACAAGACAGTTTATTTTTTTTTTTACTTTTTAGCTATTTAGTGTCACCCTCTTTAAATAAAGTATCTATTCTATTCTATTTATATAAATGGTTGTTTTTCAAAATGCAGATCTATGGGGAATTATCTGATGTTGGATTTTCAACTTCTGGCGCTTCAGCAATCCTAGCTGGTACCAAAGGTTAAGCCAAATGCAACACTGGTCGACAATAAAGCACTTATTTACTGGAAACCTCGGGAAACAGTATGTTACTGTTTCCCTCGGTTCCAGTAAATAAGTTTTAAATATCCAATTTTAATTATAATCTATATCAAGTGGTACTGTACATATATTTTTATAATAATCTATTTAATAATAAATGTTTTGACCAGGGATAGTTAAGCCAGCAATAGTTGAATTTGCTGCTACCAAATGTGCTGTATTGGAAAGTGATAAAGTAGTGAAAATTGGTGTTCAAAGAACTGGAAATTTGACATGTACTGCAACTGTAAAGTGAGTAAAATGATCGATATTGTATCCATTTCTTCATATCAGATAGTATAGTTAATTTCAATAATAATAGTCATTGAAAAAGAAAATATAAGAGAAATAAAATGACATTGACTTACTGGATTTTCAAATATGAAGACCACAGCCTCATTTATCAATCCCAAAATGCATTGCATCACAAGGCTTTCCACGGGTTGCAATAGAGACTATGTGTCCCCCTCCCCCATAAAAGTTAATGACCTACTTGATACTTTTAAGCCATATGATATTCATGCATTGAAATATGAATAACTTATTATTAATGGTTTTAGTTTAGGTGACACCTTTTATATAAATGCATTTTGTTTGCCAGTTATGAAACTATTGATGGRACAGCTACAAGTGAATCAGACTACATCCACAAGAAAGATGTCATGGTATTTAAACCAGGAGAGACACTTAAACATATCGACATCACCATCATAGATGACAATGAGTGGGAAGAAAATGAGGTTTTCTTTGTCATGCTGACTCCTTATGACATAAAAGATTCTAGTGTTGCAGTTGGTAAACAAAGCATTACAGAAGTCACTATTATAAATGATGATGGTAATATTTATTTTTAATGATTCTGCATGGTGTATTTTGTTTAGTATAGTTGTATGTCTCTAGTACTCATTGTCTGAACCTTCAGTAGTACTTGTAATAATACTCACTGCTGCAGTATTATCAGATGACATAATTATTTTAGAGCTAGGCCGTTACTAATGTAATTTCTATTCTAACTTAATTATATTTAGAACCTGGCATTCTTTCATTTCAAAAGCCAAGCTTTGTGTTAAAAGAGAGCATTGGAAAAGCAAAGATAATGGTTGAACGGACAAACGGAACCGATGGAAAGATAAGTGTCCAATACAAGACAAAAGACCAGTCAGCCATCTGTGGGAAAGATTTCAATGGAGGAACTGGAGTGTTAACATTTGAGCATGGCGAGCAAATCAAGCACATTGATATTGAGATCATTGATGATAAAGCTTTTGAAAAGGATGAGAACTTCTTGTTGGAACTGAGCGATCCAACAGGGGGAGCACAGTTGGGAAAAATCAAGAGAACCATACTGACTATTGTCAATGATGATGGTACGATTGTCTTCAACAATGTGCTATGTTTTTTGCAAATACTTCACCAATCAGATCACCGTCGTAGCTACAATCAGGCAAGCGAGGCACTTGTCTCGGTAAAATTTTATCGAGTTTTCTTTCGTATCCAAAATAAAAAAGTTCGATCAATGGTGTAAGGTAAAAAAGTCACAATATGTTTGGCAAAACGCAGTAAATCACCTTTCWGAGTGTCTGAAGATCTGAGATTATAACAATGTAATTATTAAAGCAACGTTGGTTTTAGCTCAGAGTACAATTAAATTCATAATTATGCCAATAGCAAAAAAGGTTTTCAGATTAAATGTCAGATGGCAATTGTCGAGTGGAAATTGCACTTATATTATTTCCAGTAATTGTCAGAAAAATTCTACACAAATTGTACTGCTGATCTWCGAGTCATTTTAATGCTTGGAAACGAAACCTAACATGTTCTTAAACTAAAACTGTTACAAATCATTATCATATATCAAACAATACTTTGACGTATATACACCCTTTTAATAAGTCCCAAGCTCTCCGCACTTGATGTCAAATTTATTCTTTTAAAWTTTTTACAATACAAAAGGAATTCAAAAAAATAAACTTGACGTCAAGTGCGGAGAACACAATACCTTGGGACTTGTTAAAAGGGAGTATATTCCTTGTTGAATGAAACCTGTTTATATGCTATGCACTGATGTTTGAAATATGGAAGGTGAGCCTAGGGTGGCTTCAGAGCTGCCTTAATAACACATGGAAGTGACTCTAATTTAATCTTTTAGAGTATAAAAGGCTATTTGACAGAGTTGTTTCCTTGACACATCTCAATCTGGACCGATTGCAATTGGGTTCTTCCTCATGGGGTAACCAGTTCCGCGAGGCCATGACAGTAAATGGAGGTGATGTGGACAATGCAACCACCATGGATTATATCATGCACTTTTTAACATTTGCTTGGAAGGTACAATGTCATAAATATTTATAATTTATAAATATTCAGAAATACATCAATATGCAGAAATTATGATCGTTTTGACTCGTATTCCAGGTATATATAAAATACATCAGAAATTATGGGATACCATCGCCAATATTTTTTTGAGGTTGCCAGCATGCAGATCACTTTTGTATAAACTTGAGATATGAGTCAAAAAGATCATAAATTCTGCATATTGTTGTATAAATATTTGTCACAGTAATTATCACAATTGTCTAAATTTTTTGTTCACACATTATATCATATTTCCTATTTTTAAAGATKATCTTTGCTATTGTTCCACCATGTTCATGGGCTGGGGGCTGGGTTACATTCTTCTGTGCACTTGGTATGATTGGACTTCTGACTGCTATTATCGGTGACTTAGCTACCATATTTGGATGCTTGATTGGGCTTAGAAAAGAAGTTACTGCAATTACATTTGTTGCCATGGGAACAAGTCTTCCTGATCTGTTTGCCAGTAAAACTGCAGCAACACAAGAAAAATATGCAGATGCCTCTATTGGCAATGTTACTGGTAGTAATTCTGTTAATGTATTTCTTGGCCTTGGTACTCCATGGGTAATAGCATCAATATATCATGCAGTCAATGTAAGTAAATGAATTCTCTTCTGATACATGAATCACATGTACACCATAACCATCACATCTCAGTCTATTAACATATTTTTAAAAGTACAGAAACAAATACTTCTGCTGCATTATAGCAAAATACCCTATAATGATCCTGGAAATGTTTTAGTTAGTTGTTTTGCCAGAGACATTTTGATTTTTAGTTGAACTAAGAATTCAAAGCATCTAATGTCTGTCTAATAGTAACATTACTTTGTTTCAGGGAAATCCTTTCAGGGTCGAGTCAGGATCATTAGTGATTAGCGTCGTTACATATTGTGTCTGTGCGTTCATATGTATACTTTTTCTGGTACTAAGACGTTACATCAAGGCTTTCGGAGGGGCCGAGCTTGGAGGTCCTAGTAAAACTAAGTACTTTTGTGGCATTTTCTTCATTTTGCTATGGATCATTTACGTTCTCATATCGTCTATGGTTTCATATAACATTATAAAGTTTTAGTTTTTAGTTTTGGTTAAACTGTATGTTTTTCCCCATAAATTTATGAACCAGAGGAAATTTACAAGCATTTGTATGTGATCACCCAACCATAAAATGGCTCTTATTTCCGCTATAAATTGCACTCAAATTTAGCAAAAATAAATTGAAAATGATGCACTTTCAAAATATGAAGACCATGTTCAAGTTTTGTAAAGTCATTACTTTGGTACTCTATAATTGAGTAGCAGTTAAAAACAGAGAATCTAAATTTGCTTCATATTTCTGTTAGAAAGCAGCCTTTATATATAGTGATGTAGCTTTGTTCACTTTAACACCCTAACAATAAAGTACTTGATGTAAGTATTCTGATCTCAATACTGTATAACAGAACAAATAAATTTCATGAAAATGAAGACATAGCATCTTGTTATTCAACAGAGAAAACATGTACTTTGCAYTATGTGTCCACAAATATCCACATAAGAATAGAGTACTCAAGCGATGACGTCACACTTGAGTACTCTATACCACCTGAGTTATCAACACATGCGGTCCTCATATTCGACATATCTTTAATGGTATTATATTACTTACTAATAATAGAATCTTACCTAGAGGTATTGTCATAGCCATGTTCTCTATTATATAACAGCCTGACTGTATTTTGTACTGGCTTTACTACAATTATTATTTGCATGAAAAAAAGCTTCCCTTGATCAATAACTGGGACTATTTGTTGTACCTGGTGATGTTGCATTGATTCAAGAAATGTAATCATAACAATGGCTAGATATGTTTTTGCCTGTACTCTTCTGATGCTTCTGCAATTACCTCTTTCAACTGATGGACAGTTTGATGCTCATCACCATGGGTAACTTTTAGAACATTCAGTGCCTTTTGTAATGTCTGGATACCAGGTTCAAACATTTCTAAGAAAATCTGCAACTTCCCTTTGAATCAACAAGAAATGGTCTGTTATGAAACTTTTTAAGTGCTTTAATAGATAAATACTAGGCATACTAAAAACTACATTGCAGTCAGTACTCTTAATTTCATAGTAGCTATTCACAATTATAAATACTTAATAAAAAATGTCAATAATCTCTGCTAAACCTGCAATTACTATAAACTGGAACTCCTTAAAAGTATAGCTGATACAATTGCAATCTTCTGCAAATATTATCCCAAAATGAACTTTAGCTGTTACTCTTACCAATTCTGAAAAGCTGAATTCCAATGTTGGGATGATATTGGTGGTAGATATGTCTGTAAGGCTCTAGAGTCCTTAATCCATAATCTAGTGCTTTTTCCCACCTGCATGCTGATATGCATGCATCAAAAGCTTTATCCAAAGTACCAATTAAGAGATAGTGATAAGGGTAAAGAATGTATTCTTGTTGTTTTATAGCTTTATCGCAGAGCTCCATTACTTTAATTGGATCTATTTTGTACTTTTCCACTTCATGAAGAATACATTTTGCATATTTACAAATATCTAATATTTGTTTTACATCTCTCTCGGTGCCACAGCTTTCACATTTACCTGAAACATTACATTACATTTACATTACATTATCAGTGGAATGATCGTCATATTGTATTTTTATAGACAAGAGGAAATGGTACAATAGAATGAATGCTATTCATTTTATGAAAAGAATTATATAGCTGACCCTTAACATAAGAGCATCAATTTCACTGAGTTATATGTATTCAATATATATTCAATTCTTGAATAATAGGCACCTCRCAAGGTACACTGGGCGCTTAATTGGAGCAGGCACTTATCAATTATTATTTTAGCTTTTGGCAGTGGTTATTCATTTTGTTCAAGATGCTAATAGTCCAGTAAGGGTATACCTGTGTCAGGAACAGCATTTTTACAGTGTTTATTTGCACATTTATAGGAATTCACCAGCCAATCTTCTTGATTTGCACACTTCTCACAGCAGCATTCAAAGAAATATTGCTGTTTAAGTTCTTTTTGTCTAATTTGTGCTGGAACAAGAAGTTCTGTATAGCTAATGGTCAGTTCATCACCACAAAAGATTTTCCTCACAGCTCTGATTACAAGCTGAGTATCATTAAAAACAGCAACACAGTTTGGATTACAGGAATGGTTTAATGTTGATGCAACAGGATATAAACCCACACCTGCAAAAGAAGAATAATTAGACTTTGTTGCATTGTGCTTTGCAGTTTTGTCTAATGCCTAACTGTACAGTAAATTACGTCTGCCCATATAATTTATATAGTGATGATGTACTAAATAATACAGCTGTAATAAATCATCAATGAGAGAAGTGGAGAAGCTCGATAGAGGCCTTATGCACCACTTGGTGCRAAACAGCACGATGATGAATAAATCATCAATATCATCATTTTGGTATATCTACATATTAAAAACCATGGTGACACACATCCAGGCGTTTTATAGAAACATGGTGGGAAGGGGTATAACCATTATTGGTGGTCAAACTCATCCAGGGTCTTTGTAGAAAAGATGTCGTAATTTTAAAAACTCAATACTTTTATGGATAAAAGAGAAAGTTCTTTTGCAATCGATAAGGAATGACAGAGGATCAGGATTCTCTGCGGGAYCCTCCTCTAAACAAAATATTAATATAAGTCTGGGTATGTAATTACCTATAGGTTGCATTTCACCATTACATATACTAAAGCTGTTGCAGGACACTTTGGCAAAAAGTTCAATTATCTCTGAAGATTCGAACCTGATGATAAATTCGTGTCCTGTGAAATGACCAAGCACTGCCAGGACAGCTACAAACTCTTTCCTCCTTTTTTCCGTGATTTGATCCACATTTGATACCAAGTTTTCGTACCACGACATGTCTTGATTTGAAGCCTTCATGTCAAGAATCCTGTACATAAGTCGAACCAGGTCTGTTGGGAGTTGAGGCGCTACTGCACGTAGTCTCATGCATTCATTTTTGTGCATCTTCCATGCMTTTAATTGGCATTGATGGTGGCAGTACCWTGCATATTTACAGCCAGAGCACCGAAGTAAAATACTGTTAGGTCTGAAACAGTTATCGCAAAACAGTTTTCGAGCATTGTTACCCAAAACGCATACAACAGGTGTGTCTACTAAAACCTTTCCTCCTGTTTCTATTTCTTTCAGTGCTCTTAAGGCACGTCCTTTCTCTCTTATTTTGAAAACTTCAAATGACATAATCACAGGATACCTATCCTTTGAACGCCATCTTTTTTTTCTTAAGAATTACCGCTGTGCACCTTTCTTAGCAAGCGCCAATCTCGAGCCCAGAGTCTTGACGGCTAATGTCAGCGGTATGCTGACTAGTCGCCGGGTAAAAATCGACTGGATTTAAATAAATAAAAAATAAATAAACAATCTCAGCTTATAAAGCGCTTATAAAACTTTTTCTAAGCGCAAATAAAAAGGTAAAAATTTTCCGTCGCAAATTATGCAAATTAGCCCAGTTTTGTTTTTGCCGGTTTAGAGCATCAAAATGACAAAAAAGAAGGAGGTTTAGTACACAACTTAGTTTAGGAACGGTAGTTACACCTTTTTCAAAAACAAAATGCGTGAAAAAAGGTGTTTTTATGCGATAAAAGTATGATATCATTGACCAAGTGCATGGTCAATCTCGTACCCAGAGCCCACGTTAATTTTTTCGCATAACCACACATGTTTTCACACATTTTTGTTTTTAAAAAGGTGTAAATATCGATTCTAAACTAAGATGTTTTCTAAACCTTCTTCATTTTTGTAATTTTAATGCTCTAAACGTAGAAAAAAATTTTGACCTCATTTGCATAATTCTTGATACGCCTTCAATACAGCCGATCAAAACTTGATACGCCTTTAATACACTCGATCTAAACATCTTACGCCTTCAATACACTCGATCTAAACTTCATAGGCCATCAATACACTCGATCTAAACTTCATACGCCTTCAATACACTCGATCTAAACATCTTACGCCTTCAATACACTCGATCAAAGCTTCATACGCCATCAATACACTCGATCATACGCCATCAATACACTCGATCTAAACTTCATACGCCTTCAATACACTCGATCTAAACATCTTACGCCTTCAATACACTCGATCAAAGCTTCATACGCCATCAATACACTCGATCATACGCCATCAATACACTCGATCTAAACTTCATACGCCTTCAATACACTCGATCTANNNACTTTGATACTGTACCGCATTAGGTACACTATCTCACTAGTTAGAGTAGGATACTGTAACGCAATAAGTACACTATCGCACTAGGTAGACTATGATACTCTTCTGCACACTAGGTACACTATCACACTAGGTAGACTATGATACTGTACCGCACTAGGTACACTATCACACTAGGTAGACTATGATACTGTACCGCACTAGGTACACTATCGCACTAGGTAGACTATGATACTGTACCGCACACGGTACATTATCGCACTAGGTAGACTATGATACTGTACCGCACTAGGTACACTATCGCACTAGGTAGACTATGATACTGTACCGCACACGGTACACCATGTTCTCCGGAAGATGGGGAAAGAGGGAGGGGATGAGAGGGAAATTGAGGAGAGGTTGGGAATGGTAAAGGGGATGGGGAATTTGGGAAAGGGAAAGGTGGAGAGGGAGATGGCGAAGGGAATGGGATTGGGAAATGGGGAGGGAAAGTTGGTGAGAATAAGGGGTAGGGAGAGTTGGGATGGAAGTGTCAGTGGATACTCAGTGCCTTAACCTGCAAGGGTTGGGGTTAACAAACTTTTCTATCAATTCTAAATGCCGTACTGGTTATCTCTATGAATTTGACCAAAACTTCACTAAGTTGGGTAATTGTTATTCACACTCCCATACTGAACATTTTTAAACAAAGAAATGAAGRAAAGTTATAGTGCTAGGAAGGAGTTTATTCCTAAGACCTTTGGAAATAAATTCGGAAAAATTAATTGTTGGCGAGTTGACGTAACTTGCAAGCCAAGATTACTTAAGATAGTTTCTGAACATCAAAATTAAATTAAAGGACTTGCTTGGCTTATAAAATATTTCGTGCGTGCAGGAATGAAATAATTTCTTGGTAGATTTTGCAAGTACAATGTAGTTTATACACCACCACTCTGAAAAAGTGTAGATTAAAGGTTTTTCCAATGTTTTTTCACCTTGTCGACTTTGCACGCTGGTTTTGTCAGTCACAACGTGTTCTAAGTAAGCGCGCGAGGAGTTCAAAATTATCATTAATACCGTCCGTGCGTACGTAAGCATCAGACCTACAAAATAATAGCCACGCAACGCGTGATGAAACACGTCTTCGGGTGTATGCACGGAGTGCCTAAAGCGTCTTCCAATTGTTTACACGTCCATGTACTTAAACCCAGATATTTATGGCAGTTAACTATACGTACACTGTAACGCCTTCGTTTTCTGACATGTTGTTCTTTAATCTATAACATACAACGCACTGTACAACTTCGTTTTCATGCAACTCTCATACACAAACTCAYACCGTAGCCGTGGTACAAATCTTCACAACTAGGGGAGGGGTGCGGAAATCATTAGAACACCATCATCAACAAATGCGAACAGCAAATGACTCAACTTGTCTCGCAACATTGCTGCAAATCAATTTGGAAAAGCGATGCTGCGAATATTACTACCGTCGAACCATGCGAATTTATCGAATCAAAATAATTTGTTGCAATAGCCGGGCAACGTGCAGCGACGCCATTTTGTGCAGCAAAGCATGATGGTAGTAGTCTTCGCACTTTTCAAAACCACTAAAATATCTCCTTAAAAGCCGTTTTTACATTTTATTTT